TGTGGCTCAAGATAACCAAATCCTGAAGGCTGGAAATCCATGCTAACGTGTCCTCTTCCTCTCTTCCAGAAAAGCGAGGTCCCTGCTTTTATTCCGGTGTATCCGTGTACTTGATTTGGCTGATGAAAAGTAGGATTGGCCTGTTGACTCTTCAACTCTGAAACCTGAGTAGTCAATGTCTTGATCATGGCCTGTAGGTTTCCGATCTCCTTCTTCCATTCCGGCTCAGATGTGGAAGCCATCTTGACAGATGCTTGCCGCTTAGAAGTGTTGCTGTCATCCACCTTGGCCTGATCCACTTCTATCTCAATGAGAGCCTTGAGGAGATCGCTCAAGTTTGACGCCTGATCGAACTTGTATCCTGATTGGTTCTTCAGTTCAGGTCTCAACCCACTCCACAGCATGTTTCTGAGCATATCATCTTTCCTAGACACACTGATGTACTCCGGATTGTTCTCCAATGCCTTGGATAGAAGAAGCTCTAGACGACAACACCAGGATGAGACAGACTCCTTGTCCTTCTGCCTTGCACTATAAAGTTAGACATCCGGCTCTCTGTCCTGTCAACCTCCCCAAACATACTCTGGAATTTGGATAGCAAAGTAGCTGTGCTTGCCTGTGGTCCAAGATTCCTGGCTATCATGGCAGCTTCTCCTTCAGTGACCGTCCGGATTACCTCATAGAGATCATCTTCAGAGCTTAGTCCTCTTGTTTATAAGGCATGCCACTTCATATCGCCAGTGTTCATAGTCCGCATCCTTACCAGAGTCTCCACTGAAGAACGAAAGTTTTGGTAACTGATGGTAGAACAATCGAGGATCCGTGTAGTTGAAGCAGATGTGCCAGGCATAGGAGGAACATAGTTTGAATCCAGCCCTGAGTGTAACCGCCCAGACAACTGAGAAGCAGCGGGCAAAGTACCATCTATTGCATGGTATTCCTCTTCCTCCAAATCCTCTTGTTTGAGAGCTGCATAGGAATCGAACCAGGACTCAAACTCCTCAGTGTGTATCAGCAGTAGGCTTCACATTCTTCCTCTGAAACACTTCTAACATGTTTTGGATCTCCTTATCCGTAAAATCCATCGTTGACACATAAGTGTAAAACTAAGATAATACCAAGTATAGAGAAACACAAACCACGAAATTATTTGTGACCACCAGCAACTTAATTGCTGATAAGAGGGTGTAAGAAACTAAGCTAAGATGTTTCTGTACGCAAGCGCTTTGTGTAACAAGTGTAGTTACAAGTGTGGATGCAAAGTAATCAAACGAATAACGAAGCCAAGTTGTAACCTAAAAGATAACAACTTTAAACCAATCACTTACGGAACCTGAAAGAAAAATAATGTGAAATAAAGCGTATGCTTGTTTGTTTACCTGAAAGAAAACAAATATGTATATCAACAAATTCAAGAAATAAACAACAAACACAGTGCTGTTATGTATGTGTGCATTTTGCAATATGGTGAACTGTCAACGCATACTATCAAGTTACTTGTCAAGTCACTTTCGTCGCAAGCTAAGTGATTTATTAACTGAGCTTTATTTAAAAATAATTTGAGAAAATGTTGTTGAGGCTTAATAAGAGGAAACACAAACACACATGTCAACCATTCATCATAAATGCACAAGTAAGGCAAATAATAATGAAGCAAAGTACTAACGTGATACTAACTTAACTATGAATTAAGAATACTAAGAAATGATTTGCTAACTAAACTTTTTTAAGAAAAGATAATTTAAACACTAAGCAGTAATGCCGTGTGAAAACTATATGAGAAATGCAAATTACACCACTGAATTACTTTTCAGCTAGGAAAAAAATCAGCTGAATTAATAACTTATTAATACTAATTTAAATGTGAACAAAATCAAATGTAAACAAACAATATGGTCAATTAGAAAAAAATATAAATATAAATGTAAACAAACACTTAACAAAGTTGACTTGAAGTTAATCAAAATGTAAACAAATGAAAAATGCACTATCTATGAGCTCATAACATAATGATACAAGGCCAAGAAGGTCAATATGCTAGCTAGCAACAAGTAAAGTCACAATACCGCGGTATTATAGGAATGTCAATAACACAAACATAAGTGATTTAATCCTGGGTGTGTGTGAAGACATCACGCGATCTATCGTGAGACCCGGTGTTGTATCTAAGCTAGGCAGAGGCAGTGTCCATCGCTGAAACTTTTCAAGTCCACAAATCACTGGGGCTCCATTTTGTAGCAGGGTCACAATGACGACCACGCAAAGTGAATGCAGGGTTGTAAGTTCTGTTTATTCCAAGTGGATGTAGATTTCAACATACACGATAAAACCCTGAAACAATTGTAGCAACAATATAATAACAATATAATAACAATGTTCGCATGCTTGCAGAACATACATTGACATCTATTTATATATATTCAGTATATTAACATTATAAATGTTAATAGAGCTTGAATGCATGAGCCCGACAATATTATCTGTACATTAAAACATTACGGAAATATGATGATCGCCGAGGATTGAACTTTACAAAGATCAGGGCTTATAACTCATGACATGACTTAAACAAAGCCGTGAATGATATCGGGCGCAATCACCAAGACAGCATACACTATTTACCTTAGAAGGTTAATATAAAGGAACGATGATTATGTATGCTAGAATGATATATACACATGATATAAACAGTATTGTGCGGCACATTACATACCCTATGTATGGCACAGGGGCCCGTGGTTTATGCCTACCCGCCATAGCAGACGCATTGAATAATGTGTGCTGTAAATAAGATAGATTAGCGATCAAAACCAAACAGATTCAGTGTAAACTGTCCATGCAGACATAACAATAAGCATGGAAAGATATATTTTATACACTGTAAAATCTTAGATTGAGACACTTTGCCATTATTTGTGCAAAATGCAATGATAATAATTAGACAACATTCATACACAAAGCATACTCACAATGCCTCGCTTTGAAGTTATTTAATGCTGTTTATGTTTAAAAGGGAATATATGATACATATTAAAATGGAAACTTTGCGTTTACCTGCCGTGCCGATTACAAGACATGTTAACTACCCTGACGGCATTAATTACCCTTATTAATATACGCTATGTGTTTAAGATTACTTATTGAATGACTGCTACATTAGATATGCATAAACATTATTTAAGATAGTTAGTTTACTAACCTGATGAAAATTAAGTTGACGTCTATGCTTGTCTGTCTCTCACACAAGTTTTGTCAGTTGTGTCAGGGTGCGAGGTGTTCAGGCATAGAAAAAAGCATGCAGGTTTGAATGGACCAATCGTGAACGATGTTGTCACGGTTGGGTAGACACTATTGGTTGTGTTACTAAAACTAAGCGATTAACTATATGAATTGTTTCCAGCTGATATGAGCTGAAATCAAGAAACTTATTTAAAATACATGAATTGTTAACTATTTCATTTCAGTCACTGTAGTGAGTTGAAACAAAGCAATATATTAAAATACATATGTACATTGCATATATCAGCGCCTACTGGATGCTGAAATAAAGACAGAGAATTAATGATTATTTACAATACTTTAAAGCTAACTGGCGCAAACTAATCCTAACACTCAGACATACAAAGTATGTCCCTGCCACAATTTTGTTTATAGTTTTTTTTCATAACCAGCAATGTATATTATATGTCATGAATGAATAAAAAGTACTTATGGGTACTCAAAAAAAACCAAAAAAAACAACAAAAAAACATTAGGTGGGCCAACTAACAAAGCCTAGTGACCAGGACCTCTCACACAGGAGACACATGTAACATTAGGTAGGCCAACTAACAAAGCCTAGTGACCAGGACCTCTCACACAGGAGACACATGTAACATTAGGTAGGCCAACTAACAAAGCCTAGTGACCAGGACCTCTCACACAGCAGACACATTTAACATTAGGTAGGCCAACTAACAAAGCCTAGTGACCAGGACCTTTCACACAGCGTACATTAGGTGCTTGGCATCACTGAGCACATCAAGGACTGGTCAGCTCGAGTCTTATGTGTCTGAGTGGGGTATTCATGCTTAACTGTGGCATGGTATCTCAGTGAGCTAGCACTATAAAACCATCTTAAGTCTGGGCTAGTACATGCAGCCACACATACACACACATGCACGTCATCATATGAGCGAAATATTCTCATGTACGACATTAAACCCCATTTCACCTCACTAACAAAGACATGTGACCTGGATACCATTGTACAAAACAACCTTAGCGCTTACACTAGCGTAAGTTGATGTTAAGATATGAGAGTTACGGTCATCTTAGCGTTAAGATCACTTTGTACAACAACAGCCAGGACCTGTCATTACATGTTACAGCAGACATGTAACAGAAGTAGATAAACAAGGACTGGTAGTCTCTGAGTGTGAGGACTGTGTTGTTGTAGAGTTATTAGGCTGAACGTGCCTCATAATATCTCACTTTAAAGCTGGCATAAATCTCTATTCGTGCAAGCAGCTCATGCCTGCAAACAAGAAGATGCTGTCATTCTTGTACCGGACGTTAATCCCCATTCCTTATCACCACTGTAGTACCATGTATTGTTCCCACAGTTTTGAGACCATCAGTGAAAATGTGGTATACACAAGCCTTTTGAAAGTTTCGATAATGTTTTAAGCTGCAATCAAAGGCATGAAATTCATGCTACTTTATAAGTCTAGATAATCTGTTCCAGCGGTGTACAAACTGTGTGATATCTTAATGTAACTTTACTGTTTGATAACATGATTACTACTGCTTTACGTGGAATAAGGACAGGCCCCTCCAGATTTGTATTATCATGTTTAACTATTATCATGGTAGCAAGTAATGAATTGTTTTGACATTAACGTCAGTATGTACCTACATGTTTGGTGAGATGCTTACATGATACTCATCTTACCAAAGTTATCTATGTAATGACCTTTGAGCGTCTCTGTGGTTGTAATAAACTCTGTCATCTCTTCCAGCACAGTGTCAGGCCTGCATGAGAGGATACAGGAGCTGGAAAGTAAGGGTGTTAAACAAGAAACATTTGTTCTCAACCTTGCTCAATATAGAGTGCATTCATTGTGTAACAGTGGAGTCTCATCACAGGCATTTACAGGATGCGAATTCCTGCGTCTTATACGCATAAAAATTGACAATGGACGCAACAAAATTTATAAGCGCATCCACAGGGATGCAGAAAAAGTCCAAATACTTTTTGTAAAATTTCAATCAAGTAACCATAAGTTACCAAAGAGTTTGCTAATATCTGGGTTATGGTATCATTTGCAATTCAATTACTGTAACAAATAATGTGATGATCATGATACACAATACAATAACAGTATTAATAATAATCATCAAGTGACCCCAATTTTGTTGTCCAGGACCCCTGAAAATTAAGAGTATGAGTCCCAGGGACCCTAAAAAACAGGACTCAAGGTAAATCCCTGCATCATCATCATGTGTAGTTAGATGATAGTTTCATCTGAAGAACACTGTTGTCACCAGCAGGATCAGAAACAGTCCAGTCAGTCCTGCAGGCAGATCACTACTACCACAGAAAGTAGGGAAACGGCTCCTTCTTTATCAGGGCTAAGTTTGCTCATCATAGGTCCATTAATTTGGGCATGTAATTTGTATGTGATTGAAACAGATGCTTGAGTTGGTCCTCAACGAACTGCAAACATCCTCTGGACCATTCCACCCTGAACATATGAAAGGTTCAGCAAACAAATGTTGCAAGCATTACATATGGGCCACTGAGATAGGTCAACATAGACCTGTTGAATATCTGTTTCCCTTGTTGTGTTCCAGGTGAGAGGACAAGCTTGTCAGACCATCTGCGGAAGGCATTGTCAGAAGTTGATTATGGCAAGGAAAGAGAGGAGAAGATGAAGAAAGATATTGATGTAAGGGTTAATATATTGACTTTATTACCACTTGTGTACTTGTCCACTGGTCATAGTTGTGTCATGCTGGTTATCACAAGGCATGAGTGTTGCTGTGCTCCTGATAATGGCTCCAAAGAGGAGATGTGTGGTAAAATATCTGGCAACTTTGTTTTGTCCTACTTGTGATTGCAGCCTACTAACAGTGCATAAATGTTGATTATCAAGAAGTCATTAAATTGTGTAACCATTATTTATGGTTAAACAAAAGAGTTTTTATGAACACTTGATAGATATTCAATCATTGTTAGCTGTTCACATTCAAAGATCATGTATATGAGTATAATGCTCCAAACAAACATGAAAACCTCCAACCCATGAAGGTCCGGGTTAGAATATTCATTATATTGGCCTTCAGTAACCCATGCTTGTCGCAAGAGGCGACTAACGGGATCGGGTGGTCAGACTCGCTGACTTGGTTGACATGTTATCGGTTCCCAATTGCGCAGATTGATGCTCATGTTGTTGATCACTTGATTGTATGGTCCAGACTCGATTATTTACAGACGGCGCCATATAGCTGGAATATTGCTGAGTGCTGCGTAAAACTAAACTCACTCACACACTCACTCACTCACTCACTCACTCACTCACTGAAAACCTCCAAATTGTATGCTGTACATGAACATACTCATGCAAACTGGGACACACGAGTGCCATGTTCTTGTGGGTGAGCATGTTGTTCCCCTAGAATCTCGGCTTTGTCATATAGGTGACCTGATGACTAGAGTGGTTGCATATTATGGAACCCTTATGTCATAGGTCTATACGAAAAATATATATCACTGGTTTGTGTGGCCAATACTTTGTTGTTAAATTGGTGATGGCTTAAAGAAATATTGCTGAGTATGGCTTTAAGCAAACAAGTTTTAAAGATAATTTGTGAAGGTGTTATATAAGTGTAATGTTGGTGAAGTGTTCCTATAAGCAGCTTCGTACAGTCTGACATATGCTATACTGATATTGCTAGGTTGCTGTCCGAAGGATCAAGTCCCTAGAGGAAAACATTGAAGCAGAACGAGCAGCTCATCTGGAGACCAAGTTCAACTCTGAGATTGTGCAGGTAATTTGATCAACACTTACCAATTTGGGGCCAGTTGGAGTTTTTGTTCGCGGGTGGTCTGGCTTCTGCAAATTTCCTATTGATAAAAGTTCTGTAAAACGCGACAGTGGTCAGTATAACAAATCCTGATTTATCACCTGGTACCTGTTTCAGCCAATGTAAGCGGGACCTTGAGGGCTGCATGGATGTGGAGAAGTCGGCCAACATCGAGGCCACGAAAGCAGTGGAGAGACTGGCGAAGCAACTGAGGTACATCACTTAGTGAGGGGTGCATATTAAGGCAGCTAATTAAGAACACCAAGTCATGGGTACACTTTAAGGCAACTGAGATAGGACAGTGGCTGGCTGCTGGCTGCTGTTTAGATATATTAAACTCTTTTTGAAGTAGTTCTGAGTGCAACTGACTGTGTGGTTCAGGGAGATTGAGCTCTTGTTGAAGTAGTTCTAAGTGCAACTGACTGTGTGTATCAGGGACATTGATCTCTTGTTGAAGTAGTTCTAAGTGCAACTGACTGTGTGTTTCAGGGAGATTGAGCAGGCCTACAATGATGAGAGGAAGATGAAGAAAGAAGCTGTACACAAGATGGAAAAGTAAGTTAGCCATCATCTTTGCTTACACTAAAATAGTTTAAGTAAAAAGGTAATATTTAGGTATTATTATAAGTTATATAATGTCAATGTAAATCTTATTTAATGCCAAAAGGCAGTTATTCTTGTAAATATCTTCTTAGCAATGCATTTGTCAAGTGGTTACAAGGTATTGACAATGAGCACAGTGGAGTGTAGAGAAGTTGGCAATGGTTGTACAGCAGTTGATATGGCTTTGTGTCAGGTTGGAGAAGGAATACACAAGTGTACGAAGGAGGCTGACCACAGACGTGGAGAACAAGACCAACATGATCGGGCAGTTGTCCCAAGAGCTGGAGGTGCACCAGAAGAACTTCAATGAGCTGAAGGAAGAGCTTGGCAAGGTATGAAAACTCTGTACCAAGTGTTGTACTTGTAGCTATTGAAGCACCAGGGGCTGTGCGAGTAGATGTTGAAACACCAGGTGCTGCGCGAGGTGACGTTTATTTTTCCTTATCCTGACTCATGATCTTTTGCTTATCTCCCTTTCCCTTGTGAATGGTAGTGGAACACTTGAATCCTTTGTAGTTCCCGAAGAAGACGTATAAATACACTCGCCTACGAGTTACCTCCCTTTTCCCGCGCAAACAGTCATGTGACCAGCCTTACTTGTCACTCTCTCTCTATTTTCGCCCAAGCGGCGAGCACTGGAGTCCCGTATATGGCAGATATCCTTTATATTTATATCCTATTTATCAAATTTACGCTGTGTATGGTATTTGGCTGTAACTATCATGTATTAATTGTATAAAATTTTAAGAAATTATTGTAATTTGTGACACATTTTCATCGTATATAAATTGTTTACATTTCAGGAAATCTTGCATTGTTTGCAGACACCGGCTATCTGTGGCTGATCCTCACCCCCAATGCCCATCGTGCATTAAGCCATGTTCTTCCACCTCACGTATATATTGCAGTGGTTTATCAAATTTGCAATTTAATCAATATTTGTCTTATATCTATAGACGTGCCATGGACCAGGTGAGGAATACTTATAACTCAACAATAAAAGATCAACAACATATGCGATCTCTACAGCTTACAGCCTGCACAACTCTACAAGTACAACCTACACGAACATTACACCTGTAGTAGGTTCAGTTTCGGACGACAACCTACTTGATGAGGGGAATCCCTTCATCTACACGGATGCGGAGGTCTTATCCTGGGTAGCAGATGGCCTGCTGATATTGTCGTTCCCTCACTCACTCCAACCCAACAGAGACGTACTGCATATATGCTGATGACTCGACTCTAATATGATATCACCTGTGAAGCCGATATCTCAAGTACTGGAGAACCTCAAGGCGACCTTCGTAAAGGGCTTAAGGTTAACGCCTTCAAGAATCCTTTGGACGGACATACAGATGATATTATTAACACTCGTCACTCATGGTGGGGATTAGGAATCTAAATCCTATCAACTAGATTCAACATCAGTACTCCTTCGTTATGCTGGCTTATATTATCCACATTGGGAATACGTGATTAATATTACTGAACAATATTTTACACTTGGAGCAACCCTTATTCAAGAGGTTTATATGAGCGGCGTAGAATTACGCGCGCTTTTACTCAACCAAATATTGCACCAGATTTTTGGGAGGCCAACTTGCTACAACACCGGTGACGTCATGCTTGAAGCTGATTGGTCCAGGACAGACAACGCCTCTTACTGACAGAATAGACGCCAGCAAGTTTCCTGACTTGTAAACAAACCAGTTGTACTTCATCTGCAACCTTGAAAACAGCATACAACTACGACCCATTATCATCATGGGAATCTAATAGATGTCTAGCCTTGACAGCAGGATAAACGATGTTTATCTTGGAATTTTTCGCTGATAAAAGCCTGTATGTGTACCTGTCTCCTACGATACTACACTGGAACCAGTCTTGCTATACCAGTCTTGGGGGGCGCGGTGGGCGAGCCGGCTAAGGCGCCAGGCTAGTGATCCAGCGAGGTTGAGGTGTCTGGATCGAGCCCGCCTGTGACCGGGTGTAAAATCCTTGGAGTCAACTTTGTGTGCAGACTCTTTCAGTGTTGTCACAACCCCTAGTGCACTTAAAAGAACCCACGAATCCGTTGGTATATGACCAGATGGTGGCCACATGAATACGTGCAAACACCTAGTTGCGGGTACAGTGAACTTGGACAAAATACTGTGACTATGTGTCCCAGTCCACCCAGCTGTGAATGGGTACCTCGTTAGGATGAGAAAGCCACAATAACTTGGTGTGCCTAGTGGCTGCAAGAGTTGTATACTCCCCAAGGAGTTGAGATTGATAATATGATGTGCCATTGAGATTGACGTCCAATGATCGAGGGAAAAAAGATCAGCGCCTTGAGCAAGCACTAGTTGGCTGGATATGTGCGCTATATAAGTATCCTATAATTATGATAATAATATATGCTGATCAACACAGATCGTCTGCGTATAAAAGGGGAAGAATGATATATCATCACTTCAAATTGCCATTCTGGACAAGGTTATTGTCATCGCTGATGCCTATCTCCGAGGATGAGAAGTGCACAAGAAGAAAGAAATGGCGGTGATACCCATTTTGATGTCGTCTCTGTGAGTCGCGGCGAAGTCAAGATTGAGTTACGGCCCTTGCATGCCTGTTGCAGAAATAAAGGGTATTTTCCCTTTGCAATTTCCTTGGCCCCGGGACTATTTAGATGTGTATCAAAGCCCACTGATGCATCAGCGGAGACTTTGCAGTGCATTCTACCTAGACAGTGCAATCTAGATGCATCAACAAGCAGATCAACTCAGCTGAACTTCACAATCAAGTTGCTCACGCAACTAGGATAGCTAGTGAACCTGATGAAGTCGGAGTTGGAACCAAAACAAGATCTTCAATTTCTGGGGATAAGATTTATCCCAACACAGAATCGAATTGTGTTCCCAGAAGATCGTTGGTTCAAGATACCTCAAGCAGTCATCTCGCCGTTAACACTACGAACATGCACTGTCTACTCGGTCTACTAACCTCAGCGCAGGACTTGACTCGCACAGGAAGGTTACAACTATGTCCGTTGCAACGATTCCTGGCAAAACATCTGGACAGCGCCGACCCTATCTCGCTACCAGACAATCTCTAAACGTACCTATTTTGGTGGACTCACAGGTCGAATGTCTGCGGAGGGACCTATTTACAAGAGCCGGCCTTCGACACACATCTTTATGTAGATGCATTGCTACAGGGATGGGGTGTGCATCTCAACAACCAAGCTGCATCAGGGCAGTGGTCGAAAACAGAACAGCAGCTTCACATCAATCTGATGGAAATTAAAGCTGTGATCAAAGCCGTACAACTATGGTCGAGCTCGCTGATCAACAGAATGCCGATGGTCCACACGGACAACGCTACAATGGCATTCTCCATAATCGGCAAGGATCAACAAGATCGCCAAGCCTACTTCAGCTCACATTCCAGTTGTTCAACATCACAGAGGATGCAAACATCTGGATAAAGGCTTGTCACATACCGGGAGCCAAGAACGTACTAGCAGACGCTCTTTCCCGACCACTTCATCCGTCACCCACGGAATGGATGCTCCATCCAGAAGTATTCCGGCTCATCACAAGGGAAATAGGATCCCAATGCATAGACCTGTTCACCACGAGGTTCAACAAACAACTACAGACGTTTGTCTCACCAGTGCGAGATCCCGAAGCCTGGGCAACAGATGCACTGAGCATATGATGGGAAGGACTAAACGCATACGCGTTTCCACCTCCGATCTTACTACCGAAAGTGCTGTTGAAGATCAAACAGACACAGGTGCTACAACTGACTTAGTCGCGCCCTATTGGACAGCGAGAGTCTGGTTTCTAGACCTAATAGAAGATCTCGGAAGTCCAACCCTCAAACTACCAGAATGGTTGAACCTACTCAGACATCCGGACACCAAACAAGTCCACAGGAACCAAACACTGTTCCAGCTACACGTGTGGACCACATCAAAACCTGTTTGAAGAAAAGAGGATACTCTGCCAGAGCAGTGAAAGCAGTAACCTTAGCGTTACGCAGATCTACTCGCAAAATATGTATGACGACAAATGGCAGAAATTTGAACAATATGCAAGGCAGAAATGCTTCTCAGCTCTGAAAGCCTCTCATCCTCAAGTGGCGGAATATCTATGTCACCTTAGATATACAAGACATCTGAAAGGTTCGACATTATCCACATATCTGACAGCCATCAGTACAGTCGTCACTATCAAGTCAGGCATCAAACTGACGAAAGTACCAGAATTACTTGCTCTGCTGAGATCTTTTAAACTGGAGGACCAGCAAAAGAAATTCAGAGCACGAGCCTGGGATCTGAATGTAATTCTGCGACATCTCATGAGTGATGACTATGAACCTCTAGAACAGACTACCTTCGAGCTACTCACACAGAAAACTCTGTTCCTACTTGCCCTAGCCACAGCAGCTCGAATGTCTGAGATACATGCGCTGGACTTTGGACGCTCTAGATTCGACACGGGGCACCGTGCTGCAGTACATCTAGGACTTCATTGCAAAGAATCAGTCACCTGGCTGACCGGACAGACAGTTCCACGTCCCAGCGTTATCTACGATCCTCGGACCAGAGGACACCCAGGACTTATCCTTGTGTCCTGTCAGAGCTCTAAAGATATAGCTTCAAAAGACTAAAACAAGGAGAAGAAAATTCAAGCGCCTATTCATCCCCTTGTCAGCAGAGACGTCTGTAAAAGTCTCAAGAACAACAATATCATTTTGGATGAGAGCCGTTATACTGAGGGCCTACAAAGCAGCAGGACTAGAACCTCCACGAGCTTCCAACCCACACAAAGTCAGAGCACTGACGTCCACACTCGCTCTGCATGGAAACTGCTCGATATCATCTATCTTGTGGTGGCGCGTGGTCCTGTGCTTAAAGCTCAGGTCACAAATCGGTGGAGTTAAGCAGCGTCGAGCTCGGAGAGTCCTTGGATGGGTGACCGTGTTTGGCAGCTTGACTCCTGAGAGTTTCTAGGACTTGAGTCCTGCCCCACAACGAAGCACATGTGACACATGTGGTCTCACCTTAGGCAAGTGAGTTTGTTCAAAATTGTCTCTGTTCACCCAGCAGGAAAATGGGTACCCGGTGGAAAAAAGTCATATGACTATAACCTTCTAGGGCCTAACAGGCAGCTTGGGTTATCCGGGGTAATAATGGCCTTGATTGTTAGCGCTATGAGCATACCTAGTGTGGAGTTTGGCGCTATATAAATGGACACATTATTATTAATGGAGGGCTGCTTTTGGAAGTCAGACACAGTGTTTGCCAACCACTACCTCAGAGACATTGCCACCGAAGACGTCTCGGGCATTCACCAATTTTGGCCACTTGTTGTAGCACAACAACTAACGGTTCCACAAAGGAGCTGAGAAGGATCTCACCCTTTATCATGTGACTTGTGAAAACCAACACTCTGGAGAGTAAATTGTTGAAAGTCCATGCGCACGTCTAGGACAGATTAGCATGAGTGATTAGACCCTGTACTTGTATAGGACTTACTTGTACATGAAGAAGGGTCGCATCTCCACTTGATGCACACATCAAGAGATGGAGTTGCAATAGATAACTAATGGAACATTAGTATATCGAAAATGTCAGGAGAAGTTTCGGAAGAAATCCGTCAAGCTGTGGTCCTCTCCCGACTCATCAGATGAAAGTTAGAAGAACACGATTGTCACAGTGCCGTCATAGTTACCATGGGGGAAAAATACAGGACGTAAAACAGCAGCCAGTGAATCCAGGAAGTGGCCTGAACCACCACCGATTCCGACGGATTCTGCAAGCATTTAGCATGAGTCAGGATAAGGAAAAATATGTACTTTTCTGATTAAAATTGATATTTTTTACTTATCCTGAATCATGAGGTCAGCCCTCCCAACCTCCCCTCTCAGGGCACTCTGGATTTCCCTGTAAATCTGGGTGTCGGGCGTATAATCGGAGAGAGTGACAAACATGGCTGGTCATGTGACTGAAAAGGGGCGCTAAACGTCCGCTTTTTTTAAGGGAACTTCAAGGGATTTCAAGTGTTCCACTATCATTCGTAAGAGGAAGGAGACAAGCATTTAGCATGAGTCAGGATAAGTATAAAATATCAAGTTTATTCAGAAAATTACGTATTTTTCCTTGAGAGTGCAACTATTCTGTACAGGGTTTCCTTGAGAGTGCCACTGCTATGTACTGTGTTTCCTTGAGAGTGCAACTGTTATGTATAGGGTTTCCTTGAGAGAGCAACTGTTGTTTACTGTCTTTCCTTGAGAGTGCCACTGTTATATATAGGGTTTCCTTGAGAGTGCAAATGTTCTGTACAGGGTTTCCTTGAGTGTGGCATTGTTACCTATAGGGTTTCCTTGAGAGTGCAACTGTCATGTACTGTGTATCCTTGAGAGTGCAACTGTCATGTACTGTGTATCCTTGAGAGTGCAACTATTATGTACAGGGTTTCTTAAGAGTGCAGCTATTATATTCAGGGTTTCCTTAAGGGTGCCACTGTTATGTATAGCATTTCCCTGAGAGTGCAACTGTTATGTACTGTGTTTCCTTGAGAGTGCCCCTGTTACGTATAGGTTTCCTTCAGAGTGCCTCTGTTATGTACTATTTTTTTCTTGAGAGTGCAACTATTCTGTACAGGGTTTCCTTGATAGTGCCACTGTTATGTACTGTGTTTCCTTGAGAGTGCCACTGTTATGTACAGGGTTTCCTTGAGAGTGGCACTGTTATGTATAGGGTTTCCGTGAGAGTGCAACTGTTATGTACAGGGTTTCCTTGTGAGCGCCATTGTTATGTATAGGGTTTCCTTGAGAGCGTAACTGTTATGTACAGGGTTTCCTTGAGTGTTCCACTGTTATGTATAGGGTTTCCCTTGAGAGTGCAATTGTTATGTACAGGGTTTCCTTGAGAGAGCCAGTTATGTATAGGGTTTCTTTGAGAGTGCAACTGTTATGTATAGGGTTTCCTTGAGGTTGCCACTGTTTGTTCAGGGTTTCCTTGAGAGTGCCAGTGTTATGTATAGGGTTTCCTTGAGAGCGCAACTGTTATGTACTGTGTTTCCTTGAGAGTGCCCCTGTTATGTACTGTGTTTACTTGAGAGTACCTTGGTTATGTACAGGGTTTCCTTGATAGTGGCACTGTTTGTACAGGGTTTCCTTGAGAGTGCCAGTGTTATGTATAGGGTTTCCTTGAGAGCGCAACTGTTATGTACTGTGTTTCCTTGAGAGTGCCCCTGTTATGTACTGTGTTTACTTGAGAGTACCTTGGTTATGTACAGGGTTTCCTTGATAGTGGCACTGTTATGTATAGGGTTTCCTCGAGAATGCAACTGTTATGTACTGTGTATCCTTGAGAGTGCAACTGTTATGTATTGGGTTTCCTTGAGAGTGCAACTGTTCTTTGTACAGAGTTTCTTGAGAGTGTCAAAGTCAAAGATGTTTATTGTACAAAAGGCCTCCGGCCCATATACATTGGAGTTGTACATATACATTATACATATGGTGCAATAAGTAGTAATTAGTGATCCAAACAGCAAATCATGATACACGCAGTTAATTATGTACAAGTAGTGAAATACGATGGACATACAACACTTTTTATCAGATTGTTACGTTTAATAAGAGCATAATTGATATAGTACGACAGCTTTATTATTACATGCTGGTCAGTTGATGAAAGAAGTAGTTTAAATGCTAATGTAGGTGGCTTACGTGAGATAATATTCAGCTATATATTTTGTACGCCAAATCTTTATACAAAGGACATACAAGCAAAAATGGATTTCATTTTCCACATCTATATTACACAATGGGCACATTCTCTTGCATCGCTCAATATAAAATGTCTTCCTTCGCTTACCATTATGTTGATCAAACCTAACCTAAAACGTATAAATGGATATCTTAATTTCTTTGATGTTAAAACGACAGATATTTCTCGGCTGGAGTAGTGATTTGTATATTCTATAAGAGTCGCATCGCGTGAGCTATTATGTATTACTGAATGCCATTCTTGATTAAACATATTAAGACTTCTTTCTGGAAACTGAGTTAAAAACAAACTTGCATCACCAACTGACTGACTTAACCATACAAAACCATAACCATGTGAAAACAGAAGATTTCTTACATAAGATGCCCACGCCACTTTACCAATGTTGTCCAAATGAACAAGCATGTTATAAGCCTTTTGGGTAATCTATGTTCTTGCATACACAATATCTTAAACCAGAATTTTATACATCGAATATGAGCATTTATATACAGGGGATACCTCCCACATTCACCGTACACCATACAATTCGGTGTAGAGGGTCCTACATTTAAAAATTTCTTACAGGCCATCAAATGTATTTTTTCTATGCATTCATATCTCTGGAATCCCCAAATCTCGGATCCATACAAAAGAATAGGCTGAATTTGACAATCAAATAGTTTAAAGTAAATACTGGGCGTCAACACACCAATTTTACACAAGGCAGATGAGTTTCTTGAGAGTGCAACTGTTATGTATAGCATTTGCCTGAGAGTGCCACTGTTATGTACTGTGTATCCTTGAGAGTGGCACTGTTATTTAAAGGGTTCCTTGTGAGTGCAACTGCTATGTACAAAGTTTCCTTGAGAGTGGCACTGTTATCTATAGGGTTTCCTTGAGAGTGCAAGTGTTATGTGTGAAAGTGCAACTGTTATGTACAGGATTTCCTTGAGAGTGCAACTGTTATATATAGCATTTGCCTGAGAGTGCCACTGTTATGTTCTGTGTTTCCTTGAGAGTGCAACTGTTATGTATAGGGTTTCCTTGAGAGTGCAACTGTTATGTGCAGGGTTTCCTTGAGAGTGCAACTGTTATGTATAGGGTTTCCTTGAGAGTGCCACTGTTATGTTCTGTGTTTCCTTGAGAGTGCAACTGTTATGTATAGGGTTTCCTTGAGAGTGCAACTGTTATGTGCAGGGTTTCCTTGAGAGTGCAACTGTTATGTATAGGGTTTCCTTGAGAGTGCCACTGTTATGTATAGGGTTTCCTTGAGAATGCAGCTGTTATGTATAGGGTTTCCTTGAGAGTGCAACTGTTATGTGCAGGGTTTCCTTAAGCACTCCAATGTGATGTACAGGGTTTCCTTAAGGGTGCTACTGTTATGTATAGGGTTTCCATAAGGGTGCCACTGTTATGTATAGGGTTTCCTTAAGGGTGCAACTGTTATGTATAGGGTTTCCTTGTGAGTTCAGCCATTATTCCCAGTGTTTGTTGTGCAGGCCAAGAAGCGACAGGTATATCTGGAGGATACATATGGAGGGTGTATGAAGGAACTGGACATGTTGATCTCCACCTTCTCACCTCCACTCACAGACAAGACCAAGAAAACCACACGTAATGATGTTTCTTTATATTGTTTTGCCATTCATGCATTCAGGGATATATTTAGGCCTTATGAGACGCTGTTATTAGGCCCCAAATATGCAACAAATATCGCCTTACATTCCAGGTGTGATTTGAAAAGTCCATGATGTTATGGTTTTGTAGAGGTGGCTTGTATTTCAATGAATACTTCGAATGGTATAGATGAATAGACTGTAATGCTGACTTTCATCTTATTGCAATGATGGCTGTTGGTAATGTGGGTGACTTAGTCAATAGTACCCCTTGCAATTGGTCTCCTGAAAAAACTTCCTGCAAATGTGAAAGCAAGCACCTGCAGTAATTGCAATGTTATGGAGACTGGAGTTAATATTTAAATGGATGCACTATATTGAAGGTGTGAGAAAAGATGAAGGGAAGACCAAGAAGCTGCCGAGCCCTACCGCCTTGCTGGAGACATTGAGGCGACTACTGCATGACTCCAAGACCAAAGGGGACAGCACCTGTGAAGAGGTATGTCAGTGCTGACTTGTCATAACTTATCATCTCACATAAACTTTCATTACCTGTGTCAATTTTTCCATTTGTATACGTGCTAGATATTGTGATTATATTTGTGGTTCGCTCAACTTTATAGCTTTTCTCCTTCAGGGTACAACAATAGTGTGCATCTTTTCAGGACAAAGTGTGATCCAGGTATTAACGGTAGATGCTCATATTGATGGCGTTTTTCATCACATGTATTTCTGATAGCACTAAGTGTTCAGCCTGTTCACATGAAGAGAAGTGTTTGGTTCACAGCGACAACAGAAAAGAAAATATGTGACATTTGTCTTGCCTTTTATGTCCAATCTACATCTTCAGAAACCTGTGGAAATAGCTCAGAACCAAATATTTTCCTTCTGTCTTTCTTGTTTTGGTTTATTTGAGTTTTCTATGTGTCACTGTCTCTCCCTCAGTTGTCTAAATGTAAAAAGACTGTGGACAAACTGTCAAAGGAAGTGGACACATATCGGGACATGGTGCAGGCCAAGGATAAAGCTTTGGAGGTAGTGGTCAAACTGTACCTCTCTCACCTATCTCACCTTCAGACTACCCTTCATGCACAGGTCCAGTATCTTACAGGCTGCCCTTCACTGTATGTACACACACAGGCCCAGTATCTTACAGTCTGCCCTTCACTGTATGTATACACACAGGTCCAGTATCTTACAGGCTGCCCTTCACTGTATGTATACACACAGGTCCAGTATCTTACAGGCTGCCCTTCACTGTATGTACACACACAGGTCCAGTATCTTACAGTCTGCCCTTCACTGTATGTATACACACAGGTCCAGTATCTTACAGGCTGCCCTTCACTGTATGTACACACAGGTCCAGTATCTTACAGGCTGCCCTTCACTGTATGTACACACAGGTCCAGTATCTTACAGGCTGCCCTTCACTGTATGTACACACATGTCCAGTATCTTACAGACTGCCCTTCACTGTATGTACACACAGGTCCAGTATCTTACAGACTGCCCTTAACTGTATGTACACACACAGGCCCAGTATCTTACAGGCTGCCCTTCACTGTATGTACACACATGTCCAGTATCTTACAGGCTGCCCTTCACTGTATGTACACACAGGTCCAGTTTCTTACAGGCTGCCCTTAACTGTATGTACACACACAGGCCCAGTATCTTACAGGCTGCCCTTAACTGTATGTACACACACAGGCCCAGTATCTTACAGACTGCCCTTCACTGTATGTACACACACAGGTCCAGTATCTTACAGGCTGCCCTTCACTGTATGTACACACACAGGCCCAGTATCTTACAGACTGCCCTTCACTGTATGTACACACAGGTCCAGTATCTTACAGACTGCACTTCACTGTATGTACACACACAGGTCCAGTATCTTACAGGCTGCCCTTCACTGTATGTACACACACAGGTCCAGTATCTTACAGACTGCCCTTCTATTATTACAATGCTCTACTGATTGTTAGTGGTTTTTGCCACCCTGTTTGATCTAGGAATGCATTCATATGGGATACTGAAGGTGTGTTTAGAATTAGAACGGTCATCGGCAACGTCTAAATTCTTAGTCATCATAGCCATTCCTCCCTATATAAATGTTTATAGTTTGTGGATCAGTGCAAAGTTTGATGGATTTTAGGAGAACTTGACATTCTTTTTCAGAGAGATCGTCCTTGGGGTACATATTATGCATTTTCCGGCTGAAAAATGTCCTGTGACAGTTGTATCAATGTTTTTTGAATAAAAAGATTGTACAATAAATAAACTCTTTTATTTATTATACGGACCCTACCTCACGGAGTTACCTCCCTTAGCGCATGCGCACCAACTGGGTAGGCTCCTAGACCCGTATCATCATTCCTTCTGCTGTCACGGCCGTGAACAGACGTGTTTTGAGTAACCCATTCATGAGCCGTGACGGCGCTGTTAAAAGAGACTATGTCTGAGACACCACCTGTATGTATGGTCTTTATTTGTCTAAAACAAGAACAGTAAAGCTTTACAGTTGGTTGTTTCATAATTGTGACTTTGTATTAATACAAAATACGCCGAACTTTCCCGTGGTTACGCGACGTGTTGCTCTGCCATGGCGGAAGTTTAAGCGTGCCATGTGGTCGTAATATTGCGTATTAAAACCAACTATTACTTTTCGTGGTAACCTTCACGTAGTTTTTCAATGTTTTCTACGTGTTTATATGCTGCTGGTCAGCCGCTCACTAACACGTTTGGCGTGTTTGTTTCAGGCCTTTTCATGCTGTTCGGTCTGTGAGGGAGTATCCCCGGCCGACAGTCATACTTCTGTTGCGTGGCCTGTCTGGAGAAGACAGGCCATGAGGCTGACTCCTGCACTATTTGTCTGGCCTTTTCCCCGGCCCAGAAGAAGGCGGGCTGCCGACACCTTGTTCTATCGCTGAAATGCGCGGAGGCGGAGGGGACCTGGACGAGGTTCCCCGCTCTAAGTCCAAACGTGGTGTCAAAAGGGAAAAAATCCGCGGCCTTCCCCTCCTCCTGCCACTTCGAAAGTGGTTTTGACATGTCACTGATGGAGTCTATGTTTCAGCAGCAGATGGACTCGATGAAGTCCTTCGGTTAGCGGAGTCGGGTTGGAGGTCTCCGGCAGGAGTTCTCACCCACTCCGGACGGGGCGGAGAGTCCGGGGTGGGATCGCGGGCTCGCTCGATCCTCGCCTTGAGGCGCCTGTAGATCCGCTGCCTCTGGCTTCGATCCGGACGCCTCGGCTGCTCCGGGAGAGGGAGGTGCTCCCAGTCCCTCTCGAGCTCGCCGGCAGGGCCGTTGAGTATTCCTGGTATTCGGTCCTTGGCGCACACCGCCCCATGAGAGCCGGAGGCACCAGTTCTGCCTGGCCTGCCTCCAGCGCCTCGACCGGGGTCCACGCCACGCCCGGCTGGCTGGCGATGGAGCAGTCTGTCTGTTCTTCCCTTCCTGTGGTTCCTAGCGTTAGGCAGTCCACCGGGTCGGGTTAGGGTCCTCTTACGGAGGAGACCCAGCCTCTGCCTCGGGCTCGACGCCGCAGGCAATGGAGCTTGGGGAGGTCGAGGAGCATGACGGGCGGCTTCCGCTTTGCTTCGCCTGGGCGGGAGGTCCGGCAGAGAATTGCCGAGGGCCTACCCCAGGCCGCGGTGCCTGCTGGTTGCGTGGACTCGACTGAGTTCCGCTTTGCCTGGCGAGCAGGCGTTGCCCCTAGGCAACCCTCACAGATGCAGCTCCGCATTCTGCCATCGCTGGTCTCGGACGATGGTCGATCCCTCTTGTCTGGTGCCCGAGTAAGGTTTGACTTACCTGAACTCGTGCGGCGCTACCAGCTTGGGGAGGATTCCTGTTCGTTGTACCGATTGTTGACGAATGTGTTTTCACTTCCGCCGCCTCTGGGGAGGCTTTCGGCTTCCTCGAGCAGCTCCGCTGCTCGGCAAGGGCTTCTAACTCCACCTTTTGCCCTCGCTGGCGCTTATGCTCGCTGCATCGACCTTACTGAGGAGGTCTACCGGAACGATGCGATGCAGCAGGTGCGGTGGTGGTCCATGAGGCCTACCTCTCCTCGGTTCAGAGGTCGGCCCTGGAGGCGGAGGGCATGCTGGCGACGCGGTCGCCGCATGTCGTGGCTGCTCCGCCAGCTTTCGGAAGTGCAGGCTCACCTGTCGCGACTCTTTCGGCGGTCTGCTGCATCGACGGTGATGTGCGCAGTCATGGGGATGCGCCGGCTGTGGCTGTCGACGTCTAGGTACTCGGCAGCAACACAGCAGACCTTGCTGGCCCTCCCTTCCGCCTGGGGAGCGACCCTCTCTTCCAGGGGCCCAGCAGGTCATCACGGAGGCTGCCGCTGCAGCTACCTCCTTCAAGGACTCTAAGGCCTTGTTGGAGCACCCGCTGGTGTCTTTCGCCCCGCGCCCCGTGCCACCTTCCTCCGCCGGGTGCAGCCTACACCGAAGTCTGCCGGCTGGCTTCGGCCGCTTGGTAGGGGTAGGCGGAGGAACAGGTCCGCCAAGGGTAGGGGCAAGGAGCAGTCCTCGACCAGCTCCCAGCCTTTTCATGGGCGCTGGAGGTCTGCCCCACCTCCCGTTAACCCATCAGGCTGCCGCTCAAGCCGCGTGTGTCACGCCCAGTCAGCTCGGGCTACTCGGGTCTACACACGCCTCCTACCCCATATCCCAGTGGGAGGTCGCTCTTCTATTCCTGCCGGAATGGGAGAAGGCTACCAACAACGCTTGGGTGCTGGCCACGGTCAGCATAGGCCATCTCCCACTGTGGAAGCGAGGTCCGCCCGACTTCACCCGCATACGCCGCCGACTCCGTGCCGCCATGTCAAGCCAGGGCGGACATATTGCGCGACGAAGTTCAGGCTCTGCTGGACAAGTCCGCTAATCGAAGCGATACCACCGGAGAGGAACAGGCGGGATTTTATTCCACGTGACTTCCTCGTCCCAAGAAAGACGGCGGGTTCCGGTCCGATTCTCAACCTCAAGGGGTTGAATCGCGATGCTCGGTACCATCCTTCAAGATGGAGACACTGCCGCGGTGATCTCATCTGTTCAGCCCGGCGATTGGCTCACGCCAATCGACCTAAAGGATGCGTATCTGCATGTACCCATACATCCATCGTTCAAGCAGTACCTTCGGTTCTCTTACGACGGGATGTATTACCAATTCAGGGTGCTCCTTCGCATATCGACTGCCCCAAGGGTGTTCACCAAGCTCATGTTAGTCCCAGCTACCCTAGCTCGCTTCGCAAAGGAAGGCGTTGTTACCCTTACCTAGGACGACTGGTTGCTCGAGCACTAACACAGCCAGCGAAGTCAAGATGCTACTCACACAGTGATAGACATTCTAACTCGACTGGGGTGGATCATCAACCTCAAGAAATCCGACCTGGTACCCACCCAGGACTTGGTTTTTCTTGGAGCGCATTCCAAACGAACAAGGATCTCGCTTCCTTGTCGCCCGACCGGTCACCAGAGTTCGAGATGGTCTCTTCATTCTCTCCCAGCCCCAGGCACCAGCACGGACTTGGCTCCGTCTACTGGGCCATATGGCGCTTACGATCTCTGTAGTGTGGCGGGCGCTGTTGAGGATGCTTCCCATACAGCAAGCTTTGGCTGGGCTGTGGACTCACACGGAGGATCGGAGGAGCGCAGTCTCACAGTCCCCGAAAGTGGTTGACACCTCACCTTCAGTGGTGGACAAATGTCGGAATCTCACCAGGGGTTCCCTTGGAAATCCCGACGCCAGCTCTCACAGTTCAGACAGATGCGCCCTCACGGGCTGGGGCGTTCTGGGCAGTCTGTCGGCTTCGGACTCTGGTCGAAGCCGGCTCACCTTCACATCAACGTGTTGGAACTGAGAGCTGTGCGCGTTGGTATTCGAGCTTCAGAGAGCATGTCGCGGCCAGGTAGTCCGCCTTCAGTTAGACAACCAGACGGCCATGTCGTACATCCTGAAGCAGGGAGGCATCGGTGTCCCCAGCGCCTCCGGAAGCGTGCGGACTTTCTCCTCTGGAGCCACCAGTACGATTGTCAGGTACTCCCTGTTTATCTCCGGGCTGGAGAACGTGGCGAGCAGATGCGCCTCTCGCCGGATCCTGGCCCCGCACGAAGTGGATGCTCGACAGGCAGATATTCACAGTAATCTCCCAGTTGTACGGGTCGCTCGAGGTGGATCTGTTTGCGTCCCGCGGGACGCATCAGACACCCGTGTTCTGCTCGGATACCGACCCAGGGGCGTTGGCTGCCGACGCCTTCCTGCTGGATTGGGACGGGCAAAGTGCTCTGCGTTCCCGCCGTTACCACTCATTCCCCGTGTCCTTTCACAGCTGTCCACCCAGCCAGCTCGCTACTTGTGCTACTGGCACCGCTGGCCGCCACAGAGCTGGTTTCCGTAATTCTCAGGTTTCTGGCTCAGCCTCCTGTTCTATTACCTTTGCGATCGACATTCTCACTCAGAACGGAGCCCACCCAAATCCACGGATTCAGTGGGTGGCTTGGCCTCTGTCAGGTCTAACCTCGAGGCACGCTGAATTCCTGCAGCAGTTGCAGACACAATTCTGGCTTCGGTGCGGATTCGATACAAACGCTCAGTCACGAGGATAGGTGGTCCCGCTTATGCGCTGGTGTTCAGATAAGGGGATTGCAGATCCTTTTCTGGGCGGATTTAGTCCGAGTTTTGGAGTTTTTGCAAGCTCGCTTGGAAGAAGGCCTGGCGGCCGACCATTCGCCGCTACTCCACCGCTATTTCCACTTTTCACACCCCTGTCGATGGTGCTCTTCTGGGGCAGCACCTCTCGTCATAGCAGCCGCTGGCGCTGAACGATTCGACCTGCTCTCAGGCGTAACCAGTCCACCTTGGGATTTGTCGATCGTGCTCGATTGGCTGTCCGTCCCACTTTCTCACACCTATCGGCTATTTCCATTCAGTTGTTGACCTGGAAAGCTGTTTTTCTGGTGGCGGTAACATCTGGTGAAGGGTCGGGCGATTTACATGCTATGTCGTCCGACCGGGCGCTGACTGTGTTTCACACGGATCGCGGTCAGTATTCGGCCTCCCAGATGCTTATCAATCGAAGGTCGACCACGCTTTCCATGTGACAGCTCCTATCGAACTTCCTACTCTTACCCAGCCTTCCACATCGGGGACCACTCCTACTGAGCACTCACCCGTTGGATGTCCGTAGAAGACGCTCAAAGTCTATCTCCAAACGAACGCAGGGGATCGTCACGGGTACCCAGCTGTTCTGTTGTTACGGTGGCGGGAAGGCTGGTCTGCCAGCCGAGCAAGCAGACTTTGTCTCGCTGGCTAGTATCGCGGTATTTGTGCCGCTTATCAGGCTAAGGGCAAGCCTCCCCTGAGGGGTTGAAGGCTCACTCGGTCAGGGCAGTAGCCGCGATCAAAAGCTTTTGCATCGGCACTCCCCATTGAAGAGATCTGCTCGCCCGCTATTTGGAGCCGCCGAAAAGCACGCTTATATCGCCATTATCAGCTCGATACGCATTCTCGTAATCGTGCAAACTTTGGTCAGATTATTGTTCTCTCCAGTGGACAGTGTCCTGCCACCCTGACCGAAAGTGAGTCTTGGTTTATTGGTTTGTTTTGACGCTACTGTACAATAAGATTCCATTATTGACATGTCTGCTAATGTGAGCTCACTCAGAGAACCTGTACCCCTTCGATTCTCTCACGGAGTTACTGTATCGTTAGTGAGTGGTATTTTTGTTTTCCCCACGGTGCTCTCATGAAAGAAGCCACTTAGTGGGTCGGATTTCGTTGATATTCGCAGACTACGTGCAATGTCTCATTATGCTAGAGGTCGTCTTTGAGCACAAATCCTCCTGTCAGTTCCCCTCCCATAATGCCTCTCGAAGCTTAAACTGGGTCGAAAGGACAGGTGAGTGTTATGGCGTCTGTTCAATTTTTTTTTTCCATGATAATGATCGCTATATTTTGAGTGTGCTTGGACAGAATTCCCTCCTCCCTGGCCTCCGGTCTTTGGGAGTCTGTGTTTATGCATAATATGTACCCCAAGGACGATCTCTCTGAAAAGAATTAACCAAACCTGCAGAGGTTTTCAATTCTTTGAAGAGAGTCGCCCTTGGGGTAGGGCCTCCCACCTCCCCCCATAATTCTGTTCACTGATAAGAATTCAGCAGAAGGAATGATGATACGGGTCTAGGAGCCTACCCAGTTGGTGCGCATGCGTTAAGGGAGGTAACTCCGTGAGGTAGGGTCCGTATAATAAATAAAAGAGTTTATTTATTGTACAATCTTTTTATTCAAAAAACATTGATACAACTGTCACAGGACATTTTTCAGCCGGAAAATGCATAATATGTACCCCAAGGACGACTCTCTTCAAAGAATTGAAAACCTCTGCAGGTTTGGTTAAATTGCAGAGGAACAGTAAAAGTAATGCCCTTGACATTGATGCATAATGATACCAAGACTGGATATTCATTGTTCTCACCTTCTTGCTCTGTTCGCCTTACAGAGGAGAGGTTGGTTTTGTGGACTCCTGCATATGGGTGATGATACTTGCCATGTTTGTTTCAACAGGATGCCCAGAAGAACTACACCCGCACTGCGAAGGAGCTGAGTCGAGTGCGTGCTGAGGCTGGTGAGCTGGAGGGGATTTTGACAAGGACCAAACTAGACCTGCAGAGTACCAGCAGTCACCAGGACAAAGATCGGACACGGATACAAGGACTTTCAGAGGAGGTAGGTGCACACTAATGTGTACATACGACACTAGGAGGAGATAGGTACCCACTGATATACACAAGGGCTGTATGGGGGAGGTTGGTGCACACTGATGTACACACAACTCTAGGAGGAGGTAGGTTCACACTGATGTACACACAACTCTAGGAGGAGGTAGGTAACCACTGATGTACACAAGGGCTGTAGGAGGAGGTAGGTTCACACTGATGTACACACAACTCTAGGTGGAGGTAGGTACCCACTGATGTACACAAGGGCTGTAGGAGGAGGTAGGTTCACACTGATATACACACAACTCTAGGAGGAGGTAGGTACCCACTGATGTACACAACTCTAGGAGGAGGTAGGTACCCACTGATGTACACAAGGGCTGTAGGAGGACGTAGGTTCACACTGATATACACACAACTCTAGGAGGAGGTAGGTACCCACTGATGTACACAACTCTAGGAGGTAGGTACCCACTGATGTACACAAGGGCTGTAGGAGGAGGTAGGTACCCACTGATATACACACAACTCTAGGAGGAGGTAGGTACCCACTGATGTACACAAGGGCTGTAGGAGGAGGTAGGTTCACACTGATATACACATAACTCTAGGAGGAGGTAGGTTCACACTGATGTACACAAGGGCTGTAGGAGGAGGTAGGTTCACACTGATGTACACACAACTCTAGGAGGAGGTAGGTACCCACTGATGTACACAAGGGCTGTAGGAGGAGGTAGGTACCCACTGATATACACACAACTCTAGGAGGAGGTAGGTACCCACTGATGTACACAAGGGCTGTAGGAGGAGGTAGGTTCACACTGATATACACATAACTCTAGGAGGAGGTAGGTTCACACTGATGTACACAAGGGCTGTAGGAGGAGGTAGGTTCACACTGATGTACACACAACTCTAGGAGGAGGTAGGTACCCACTGATGTACACAAGGGCTGTAGGAGGAGGTAGGTTCACACTGATATACACACAACTCTAGGAGGAGGTAGGTACCCACTGATGTACACAAGGGCTGTAGGAGGAGGTAGGTACCCACTGATGTACACACAACTCTAGGAGGAGGTAGGTGCACACTAACGTAATAAAGAAGTAGTATTCTTCTTTGTTCGTAGTTTTACCTGTGACCTATCTTTACAGAATCTTGTGTCAGAGAACTGTTATAAATGAATGTGTAGTGATAGAAGTAGATTTGCTTGTAAGTGTTTTCCTGCTATATGTAATTTTCAGTTAAGTCCCAAGTTTGACTTTGTACTTACTGCTTCATTATAAATATACTCAAAGAAACGAATAAGGGAACACATGGAAGTGCATGTGTTCCATTATTCTTTTCCAGGTTTCTTCACAAGGTATGTATTGCACTGTGAGTGAAATTCTGGAAATAAATAAAGGAACACTTGTACTTTCATGTGTTCCTTATTCATTTCTATGAGTATAGAAACGAAATGAGTGAAAGTGTAATATGTATGTTTTGTATTGTGGAGAGTTTAAACATAGCATGTGTGTTCTTGTGTTACAGCTGTGATATTGTGAACATACTGTGTGTGTTTCAGATAATGAAGCTGGTTAAGCGACACCGGGCAGAGGACGAGGTATGTGAGGGGGAAGGGGAGTTCATGACCCTCCCCCCCTCCTGGACACCTCCCTTGCATCAGGTGGGAGGGGCAGGGAGAGGGGGAGTGGCGTGCAGTGATGGGGGTTGGTGCTAACACAGCATGGTTTTGTTTCATCTCAAGGCTCAGTTCTACAAAGCAACTAAAGGTCAATGACAAAAGAAGGATGGGAATTATGAGAGACATTGAGCTGCAGTTGCTCGTAGAACAGTGCCCATGTGTTGGTTACATGTCACATGAAGGGTACACTCACTATTAACACTGTCAGTTTACAAGCACAAGTAATGTCCGTGGGATACCAGCATTGTGAGAGAATTGGAACGACTGGCTTTTGTAAAGAACATGAAAGAAATAATAAGATATTTGAATCATTGCTTGCCTACTGTAAAGCAGCTGTGTGGTCCCTGACAACACAGTGTAGGTACTCATGAACATTACATGTTATATTCCGATCAGTCCTATCAATACAACATGTGGCATGTCTGGCGTACCAGCCCAAGGTGTGTTTGTTCATCCCTGTTTGCCTCTACACTAATCTGGGGTGGTGTGATAGATGTCACAGTGTTACCGCTCACAGGTTTCACCTCCTTGTGTTTGATGGTTGCTCACTTTACTCATTTTCATTTTAATATCTTATGCTTGAAGTATTTTTGATATTACTAATGTCCAGTAAAATATTTCTGATACCATTTTACAGACCACCGCCATATAGTTGAATATTGCTGGAACACTTCAAACTCTCTGTTACCTTGTTTTACCACAACCATGTTGTTGTTGCATTATAATTTTTTCCTTATCCTGACTCATGCTAAATGCTTGTCTCCTTCTTCTTAATGATAGTCATCTCAAGGTTCCCTTCCGGACTGAAAAATCATCACTCACCCATGAGTAGCCTGCCCTTTGGCACCCTTTTTGGTCACATGACCAGCCATGTTTGTCACTCTCCTTCTTTGCCCTTTGAGGACGGTTCTGAGAGCACCTGGGTCCCTATACACGGCACATATCCTTTCTCTTTGGACCTTTACATCTAAATTATAGCTGTATACGGTTTTAGGATTGTATACTACTAATATGGTTTGGAATTATGTCTAAATTATACATTGTTTGACATGCTTTTTCATCGTGTTTACATTTGATGAAAACTTGTATTCGTTGTAGGTACCTGCTGTCTACGGCTGACCCAAATTTATTATGTCCTGATTGCACTACTTTATGTTCTTCCAGCTCTGTAAACATTGTCAGAAATTAACCACTTTTGAATTAAATAATTACCTTTTTTCCATTCATGGACGTGCAAAGGACTGGGTTAGATGGTATTCACAAGTCATGTCTGGTAAATCGAGTGATTGCGCTGATAACCGTGTGTTAACTACTGCTGCTGATGTTCATAATTCCAGTGAATTACCCAACGTTTTACGAGGGCAGGTCGCTGTTCCACTGATGAACTCCGACTCGAATAAGAAGAGATCGTCGTCAACGGAGCTGTCCTCTTGGTAGACAAAAGAGGACTAGATCGTCTTCAACGCAGAAGAAGAAGGCTACAACCCCTAAGACTTTGTCTCTACACAGCTCTACGCAGAAGACGAGATCCTTCTCTGCCGAGATTGTACCTCCGGAAGAAGCAGACATGTATGTTGATTCCCCCATCCTGATACCTGAAGTCACAGTTGTCAGCAAGAAGAAGAAGCCTGCTTCTACAGCTACATCGGCAACTATATCAGCGCAGACATTGACAGAAGACATTCTATCAACGCAGACATCGGGGACCAGAGATAGCAGCAGCGTCAACTCTTCTCAAGTGCAGCGTACCTTAGAAGAGGCCTCATCGTTCTCAGAAGCATCATCAACCCTGCAGCAGTCTCAGCTTACATCGCAGAACTTCAACCCGGGGCTGTTTATGCAACAGTTTACAGACCAGATGATGTCGATGATGGAATGTCCGTGCAGGAGAAAGCTGCTACGAAGACCACTACAACGACTACAAGCCTGCGCAAAGGTTCAGCAACCTCTCCAATGCACTTGGAAGAAGAGGGAAGCCTGTGCAAAGGCTCACGCACCCGACGATCTTCCCCGTCTGAAGCTAGGAGCCTGGACAACGCTACCAATGTCAGCTCAGCCTTAGACGTCCCTGAAGGAGCCTCTATCTAAAATCCACATGAAAATGTTAGGAGAAGTATCGGAAGAAATCTGACAGGTTGTGGTTCCCCCCAAACTCATCAGATGGAATTTGGAAGAATAGAATCATCAGCAGTGCCGTAATAAGTTCCCATGGGGGGTAATACAGGACGTAAAACAGCAGCCAGTTAATCCAGGAAGTGGCCTGACCCACCACCATTTCCAACGGATTCTGCAAGCATTTAGCATGAGTCAGGATAAGGAAAAATATGTACTTTTCTGATTAAAATTGATATTTTATACTTATCCTGACTCATGAGGTCAGCCCTCCCAACCTCCCCTCTCAGGGCACTCTGGATTTCCCTGTAAATCCGGGTGTCGGGTGTACAATCGGAGAGAGTGACAAACATGGCTGGTCATGTGACCAAAAAGGGCGCCAAAGAGGCAAGGGAGACTACTCATGGGTGAGTGATGATTTTACGTCTGCTTTTTAGAAGGGAACTTCAAGGGATTTCAAGTGTTCCACTATCATTCGCAAGAAGAAGGAGACAAGCATTTAACATGAGTCAGGATAAGTATAAGATATCAATTCTAATCAGAAAATTACATTAACATAAAGCATTTTAATCTGTTTGGGCAGAACTGTGCCATATATGTCCTCCCATGTGTTGTCTGCATGTTGTACATGATGTTTTCTGTTTTCAGGAAAAGCTGGCATTCCTGCATGGTTTGTATCAGCGCCTGCTGGCTGGGCGCATCGTGGTGCCAGCGAGGGAGAAGGGCTTCAACCAGTTCTCATGGACGGAGCTGACAGAGGCTGTGTACCAACAGGTTGTTGCCATGATTAACTCTCTACAACAAGCTGATGAAAAGGTAATCTTGAAAGTCAGATGTTGAACTACTGTGTCACATTATTTGTCAGATATTCTTTCTGGGTTCCCTTCCTGAAAACAATCATAGAAGTATGGCTGCCATAATTCTATGTAAAAGTATGGGTACATATAAGCATTAAAATGTCCATATTAAAATCCTACGACAGTTGTAACAATATTTTAATAAAAAATATTTACGAAACAAAAAACTCGTTTTTGTCTTGGTAGACCACCCCTACAGGGCCCCCCAGGTCCCCCTACAGCCAAGAGCAGGTAACTCTTGCCGTCTACCTGGTACCTCAATTTTCATGCTGACCGCCGACTTCCTAAGGGAGTTGGAGAAAGTCACAGCAAATCCCTGGGTTCTGTTACACTCTGTGCCGAATTCCAGTCGTTGCTGGATGAGGCAACCATCCAGGTGTTCCTATGGGACAGGAAAGTGCGGGGCTTTACTCCACCTATTTCCTGGGTACCAAGAAGGATGGAGAGTTCAAACCTATACTAATCTTAAGGGCTGAACGACATGATAGAGGTTCCGTCTTTCAAGATGAAGACACTAAGATCAGTGATCTCATCTGTGGAGGCTCAATCGACCTCAAGCACATGTACCTTCATAGCCCGATGCTCCCCGCGTTCAGGAAATACCTCAGGTGTTTTCCTTTGACGGGAAGTGTTATCAGGTTTGTGTGCTCCCCTTTGGCATCACCAAGGGCGTTCACCAAACTCATGTTATTATAGGGGCGGTGGGGTAGCCTAATGGTTAAAGCGTTGGCTCGTCACGCCGAAGACCCGGGTTTGAATCCCCACATGGGCACAATGTGTGAAGCCCATTTCTGGTGTCCCCCGCCGTGATGTTGCTGGAATATTGCTAAAAGCGGCGTAAAACCAAACTCAGTCAGTCAGTCAGTCATGTTATTATAACGCAGGTCTCCAGGGCACAGGGCAAGTGTTGTCACTGTATCTAGACGACTGGCTACTCAGAGCGTTTGCCACGCAATCCTTTCCGCGATGAGTGTTCTCACCAAGCGGGATTGGATTATCAATCTCAAGAAATCAGAACTGTTGTCTACACAGACTGGTTTTCTGGGGAGAGAGATTCAGGACACGGCGTATCGTGGTATCCCCATCTCCAAACCGCCTTACGGGGTTCAGAAGGGTTGCTTTGCAATCTCTCTAGTTTCCCGTGGCCTCGACATGTACATGGCTCCAGTTGCTAGGCAACATGGCGACAGTAGTCATTATCTGGCGTGTGCATCCAAGGATGCGACCTTTACAGCAATCTAGATGAGAAGCCGGCTCCGCCGCTTCTTCCATCAGAGGCTACTCCACGGCTATTTCTGCTTTGCACACACCTCCGATGGTGTACTCTCGGGGCACCACCCCTATTGTGCAGCGCCAGAATCCGACCGGGCTGTCTGGCGGATTAGTCCCATCGGGACTTGTCAATCGCTCTTGATTGGATGCCCGGTCCTCTCTTTTGATTTGTCGGCTCTCTCCAGCTGTTAAGTTGGAAGGCAGCTTTCCTTGTGACGGTGTTGTCTGGCAGATGGGTCGGTGACATTCACGTAATGTCATCGGATCCTGAGCTGACCGTCTGTCACATGGATAGGGTCAGCATTAGGTTGCCAGACTCTTGTAGCCCTAGGTTCGCAGACTCCTTTCCCGTAACGGCGCCTATCGATCTCCGGCATTTACTCAGCCTCCTTTGTCACGTGATGCACGTCTTAGATGTCCGTATGACTCTCAAGGCTTATATCACAAGAACAAGGATAAAAACAACTGTTCTGCTATGGTTACACAATGCCATGTGGAAAGTGGTCAAATGTAACTCATGTTGGCTGGCATTTCGGCGAACAAGCAAACCATTTCAAGGTGTCTTGTTTGGGCTATATTCCCATGGTTTTAATGCTCCAGATGGCTTGTAAACTCTTTTCGGTTAGGGCAGTGACCACATCAGAGGTATACATGCAGCGGCACTGCCCATTGTAGAGATCTGCTCAGCGGCTGTTTAGGAGCCGCCGGAGCACGGGCATCCGTGACCTATTAGCTGGACAAACACTCACGCACGCATGCCTCGGGTTTGGCCAGACTGTTCTCCACACAGTGGGCGGAGTTGTAACTCTCTAGCCGCTTAAGCTATCAAGATTACATCATTCTGCACTTCCTGGTGTTGGGTTATGTCATTCCTCCTTTATTGGTTATGGTATTTGGTGGTGACATTTTCCCCACGCCCAAATTGGCTTTTACGGCGCTTGTACCTCGCTTCACTCGTAATTTCCATCCCTACACGCTTCGCTGGCTGGGTGTATGTTACTGGAATTGTTGTCAGTCCCTCATACTCATCCAAATTGTTGGTTGGGAGGTGGGGTTGATTGATACTTCTAAGCCAATCAGCTGCATGAGCTTGGCATTTCTACTCCTGCCCTAAACCACTTCCCAGCCTGATTGACATCGACGGTCAGGTGACTGGGTAAGTGTGTTTTGCTATCTCTGATCAGTGGTAGATTCCATTGGAGAATGGGTTTAGTTTTGTCAGACAGAATGCCACTCCCGACTCACTATCTATGGGAGTCTGTCTTATGCTTATATGTACCCCAAGGAGGACTTCTTCTGAAAAAGAATCAAACAAACCTTTAGAGGTGTCTGATTCTTTGAAGAAAGTCGTCCTTGCGGTACGGCCACCCGCCTCCCGACATTCTGTCTGATCATGTTCAGCATGAAAAGTGAGGTACGAGGTAGATGGCGAGAGTTACCTGCTCTTGGCTGTAGGGGGCCCTGTAGGGGTGGTCTCACAAGACAAAAACGTGCTTTTTGTTTTGTAAATATTTTTTATTAAACTATTGTTACAACTGTCGTAGGATTTTAAAATGGACATTTTAATGCTTATATGTACCCCAAAGAGGACTTTTATCAAAGAATCAGAAAACTCTACAGGTTTGTTCGAGTTTTCCTCATCTTAGCTGTGTTCACCTTGTGTCAGTGGGTCCAGAATCATATCATTGTAAGCTGTCATCCTAACGCTTTCATAAGGACATACTGATTGCTGTGTTACTAGATGGGGCAATGGTGAGACATAAGGACATACTGATTGCTGTGTTACTAGATGGGGCAATGGTGAGACATAAGGACATACTGATTGCTGTGTTACTAGATGGGGCAATGGTGAGACATAAGGACATACTGATTGCTGTGTTACTAGATGGGGTAATGGTGAGACATAAGGACATACTGATTGCTGTGTTACTAGATGGGGTAATGGTGAGATATAAGGACATACTGATTGCTGAGTTACTAGATGGGGCAATGGTGAGACATAAGGACATACTGATTGCTGTGTTACTAGATGGGGCAATGGTGAGAGATAAGGACATACTGATTGCTGTGTTACTAGATGGGGTAATGGTGAGACGTATGGACATATATGGCGTAGACATAAGGACATACTGATTGCTGTGTTACTAGATGGGGTAGACATAAGGACAAACTGATTGCTATGTTACTAGACGGGGTAATGGCGAGACATAAGGACATATATGGTGTAGACATAAGGACATACTGATTGCTGTGTTCCCAGATGGGGTAGACATAATGGCATACTGATTGCTGTGTTACTAGATTGGGTAGACATAAGGACATACTGATTGCTGTGTTACTAGATGGGGTAGACATAAGGACATACCGATTGCTGTGTTACTAGATGGGGTAGACATAAGGACATGCTGATTGCTGTGTTCCTAGATGGGGTAGACATAAGGGCATACTGATTGCAGTGTTACTAGATGGGGTAGACATAAGGACATACTGATTGCTGTATTACTAGATGGGGTAGACATAAGGACATACTAATTGCTTTGTTACTAGATGGGGTAGACGTAAGGACATACTGATTGCTGTGTTACTAGATGGGGTGATGGTGAGACGTGTGGACATATATGGCGTAGACATAGGGACATACTAATAGCTGTGTTACCAGATGGGACAGACGTAAGGACATACTAATTGCTGTGTTACTAGATGGGGTAGACGTAGGGACATACTGATTGCTGTGTTACTAGATGGGGCAGACATAAGGACATACTGATTGCTGTGTTACTAGATGGGGTAATGGTGAGACGTATGGACATATATGGTGTAGACATAAGGACATACTGATTGCTGTGTTACTAGATGGGGTAGACATAAGGACATACTGATTGCTGTGTTCCTAGATGGGGTAGACATAAGGACATACTGATTGCTGTGTTACTAGATGGGGTAATGGTGCGATGTATGGACATATATGGTGTAGACATAAGGACATAACTGATTGCTGTGTTACTAGATGGGGTAGACATAAGGACATACTGATTGCTGTGTTCCTAGATGGGGTAGACATAAGGACATACTGATTGCTGTGTTACTAGATGGGGCAGACATATGGACATACTGATTGCTGTGTTACTAGATGGGGTAGACATAAGGACATACTGATTGCTGTGTTACTAGATGGGGTAATGGTGAGACATAAGGACATACTGATTGCTGTGTTACTAGATGGGGTAATGGTGAGACATAAGGACATACTGATTGCTGTGTTACTAGATGGGGTAGACGTAAGGACATACTAATTGCTGTGTTACTAGATGGGGTAGACATAAGGACATACTGATAGCTGTGTTACTAGGTGGGGTAGACATAAGGACATACTGATTGCTGTGTTACTAGATGGGGTAATGGTGAGACATAAGGACATACTGACTGCTGTGTTACTAGATGGGGTAATGGTGAGACATAAGGACATACTGATTGCTGTGTTACTAGATGGGGTAGACGAAGGACATACTCAATTCACTGTGTTACTAGATGGGGTAGACATAAGGACATACTGATAGCTGTGTTACTAGGTGGGGTAGACATAAGGACATACTGATTGCTGTGTTACTAGATGGGGTAATGGTGAGACATAAGGACATACTGATTGCTGTGTTACTAGATGGGGTAATGGTGAGACATAAGGACATACTGATTGCTGTGTTACTAGATGGGGTAGACGTAAGGACATACTAATTGCTGTGTTACTAGATGGGGTAGACATAAGGACATACTGATAGCTGTGTTACTAGGTGGGGTAGACATAAGGACATACTGATTGCTGTGTTACTAGATGGGGTAATGGTGAGACATAAGGACATACTGATTGCTGTGTTACTAGATGGGGCAATGGTGAGACATAAGGACATACTGATTGCTGTGTTACTAGATGGGGCAATGGTGAGACATAAGGACTTACTGATTGCTGAGTTACTAGATGGGGTAATGGTGAGACATAAGGGCATACTGATTACTGTGTTACTAGATGGGGTAATGGTGAGAGATCAGGACATACTGATTGCTGTGTTACTAGATAAGGTAATGGTGAGACATAAGGGCATACTGATTGCTGTGTTACTAGATGGGGTAATGGTGAGACATAAGGACATACTGATTGCTGTGTTACTAGATGGGGCAATGGTGAGATATAAGGGCATACTGATTGCTGTGTTCCTAGATGGGGTAATGGTGAGACATAAGGGCATACTGATTGCTGTGTTACTAGATGGGGTAATGGTGAGACATAAGGGCATACTGATTGCTGTGTTACTAGATGGGGTTAATTGTGAGACATAAGGACATACTGATTGCTGTGTTACTAGATGGGGCAATGGTGAGAGATAAGGACATACTGATTGCTGTGTTACTAGATGGGGTAATGGTGAGACATAAGGACATACTGATTGCTGTGTTACTAGATGGGGTAATGGTGAGACATAAGGACATACTGATTGCTGTGTTACTAGATGGGGTAATGGTGAGACATAAGGGCATACTGATTGCTGTGTTACTAGATGGGGTTAATTGTGAGACATAAGGACATACTGATTGCTGTGTTACTAGATGGGGCAATGGTGAGAGATAAGGACATACTGATTGCTGTGTTACTAGATGGGGTAATGGTGAGACATAAGGACATACTGATTGCTGTGTTACTAGATGGGGTAATGGTGAGACATAAGGACATACTGATTGCTGTGTTACTAGATGGGGTAATGGTGAGACATAAGGACATACTGATTGCTGTGTTACTAGATGGGGCAATGGTGAGATATAAGGACATACTGATTGCTGTGTTACTAGATGGGGCAATGGTGAGACATAAGGACATACTGATTGCTGTGTTACTAGATGGGGTAATGGTGAGACATAAGGACATACTGATTGCTGTGTTACCAGATGGGGCAATGGTGAGACATAAGGACATACTGATTGCTGTGTTCCTAGATGGGGTAATGGTGAGACATAAGGACATACTGATTGCTGTGTTACTAGATGGGGCAATGGTGAGAGATAAGGACATACTGATTGCTGTGTTACTAGATGGGGTAATGGTGAGACATAAGTACATACTGATTGCTGTGTTACTAGATGGGGTAATGGTGAGATATAAGGGCATACTGATTGCTGTGTTCCTAGATGGGGCAATGGTGAGACATAAGGACATACTGATTGCTGTGTTACTAGATGGGGCAATGGTGAGACATAAGGACATACTGATTTCTGTGTTACTAGATAGGGTAATGGTGAGAGATAAGGACATACTGATTGCTGTGTTACTAGATGGGGTAATGGTGAGACATAAGGACATACTGATTGCTGTGTTACTAGATGGGGCAATGGTGAGACATAAGGACATACTGATTGCTGTGTTACTAGATGGGGTAGACATAAGGGCATACTGATTGCTGTGTTACTAGATGGGGTGATGGTGAGACGTATGGACATGTATGGCGTAGACATAAGGACATACTGATTGCTGTGTTACTAGATGCGAGGAATGGAGGAGGCGGTAGCGATGAGAGATGAAAAGATCAGCACGATGCAGCAATCATACGAAGACCAGCTGGACAAACTGACATCACTGACGAAGGAGCAGGAGTCATCGTGGCAGAGGCAGAAGGAGGAGCTGCAGCAACACTACACGCAGCTCATTGGGGACCTGCAGTCACGCTCCAAGGTCAGCTCCCTTGTGTGGCAGAATAATCACTGCCTTCTGGTGTCAGTTCTTGTTACATGTTACAGTCAGAAATGTTACAGCTAGTTAAGGATCGCTTGTAAATTTTCAATATGTTGTTGAGTGAGGTACCTATACATATTATAATGAGCTGTGGACCTATTTGCATGTAGTGAGCAGATGATACACATCCTATTGTAGTGAGCTGGTTAGTTTTACTTGTGTAGTGGCTGTGGACCCATTATGTAGTGAGTGAGTGAGTGAGTGAGTGAGTGAGTGACATCTATGTATGTTATGAGCGAGTGACCTGTTTGTATGTAGTGAGCTGTGGACCTATTATGAAGTGAGCAGGGGATACATATCCTTTTGTAGTGGGCTGGTTACTTTTCATATGTTGTGAGATGTGGACCTATTCTTATGCTGTCAGCCGTGGACCTATTCACATGTAGCAAGTCATGGACCTATTCTTAATGTAGTGAACTCTGGACCTATTCTTATGTTGTCAGCTGTGGACTTATTCACACATAGCGAGCCATGGACCTATCCTTTATGTAGTGAGTCATGGACCTATTCTTAATGTAGTGAGCTCTGGACCTATTCTTAATGTAGTAAGCTGGGGACCTTTTCTTAAGTTGTCAGCCTTGGAACTATTCATATGTAGGGACCCATGGACCTTTTCTTAATTTAGTGAGCAGTGGACCTATTATTAATGTAGTGAGCTGTGGACCTATTCTTATATAGTCAGCTGTTGACTTATTCATATGTAGTGAGCCATGGACCTGTTCTTTTGTAGTCAGCTGTCGACCTGTTCATATTTAGTGAGCCAGTTACCTACTCCCATAGTCAGCTATACACCTATTCTTATGCAGTGGGCGAGGAACCTATTATATTTGTATTATTATCTTTGTATGTTGTAACCCAGGGACCTATTTGTATGTGGTGGGCGAAGGACCTGCATGATATGGTGACCTGCATATGTAATATGATAGAACATAAGAGTAGAGAGACATCAAACAATGATAATCGAGATGTCGCCCTTAATATTGTTTATACAGTGTGGAAAGCAAGCTAAGTTGTTAAGTTTATGTTATGATTAACTTTAGACAACGCTGAGTTGTAACAGCTGTCAACATCAATTATTGCAACCTGACAGAAAAAGTCAAGCTGTGGCAGACCAGGCATGGGAGAAGATCCGAGCCTCAGGCAGTGTGCAACAAGGTCTGGAATCTGAGTGCCTCGAGTTGCGCAAGTACTTGATGATGCTGACACCCAAATCTCCTCCTTGTCCTCGGCCTGTGCACCTTAGCTGGTGCCCTCTATCCTCTCTACGCGACGGGCGTAACGAGCTGGCCAGTGAGCGCCGCGGTTCTGAGGACCAGATGATCAGGTGGGACACCTGCTGTGAGCCGCAATCCAGTACCTTGTCAGTGTCCCTCAACTCCGAACTCAGCTGAGACTGACAAACCAGAGCCGAGATCAAAGAAAAAGAGAAAAGAACTCCTATTTTGTGCTTCTCGGACTGGTGTTATTAAGCTGATGATGGCAGCCAACAGGTTGTGTCATATGGGCCAGGGATCGTGGTAAGATGTTTGTGACGTATGATACATTGTTCGAGGCAGTAATGGACTGCTGGTGTGTACCGGAGGCGCCAAGCAGTCCAGGAGAGTATTTAGAGGTAATGAGTATGTTCGGCTCTGTTGTTTGGTAGTTTGAGTCTGAGTGTCATTAAAACAAGAACCTGATAGCTTATAGTCAGTAGCCAGTGTGTGACTGGTGTATCCATGGTAGACTTCTGTATGGTATCTCAGTGGGCTTGCACTATGAATAAGGCATTAGTTTAGTACAATTAGCATCACAAATGTGCTAGCACATCGCTATATTAGTGCCATAATGCCATGACGTGAAAAGTCCTTCCGAACCTTGTTGAGATTGCTTGTTGCTTTGTAGAGTTGACGACTCTCCTTTCAAACCTCATGCAAAGTTTGTGGTAAATGTCAAAATGATATTGACTTTGTGACCCAGGTGTTGGTCTTGCACCTACTGAGGAAGACCAAGTGATGGATGTGGAGGTAACACGACCAGGGGAGAGTCACCTACTCAACTGGATGACTGGCAGTGCCATCACAGACCTGGTAGTTCCAGCCATGTCTGACTTTCTGGAAGTCGCTGGACAGGTCAAGGAGAAAGGTTTGTGTATGGTCACTATCTCTGTGTATGTCTGTAGTGGTAAATGTGTCGGTATATGACTCCCAGCCTGTGAGTTTAGAAGAACATCAAGGACTGTGTATCTGCTCTCATACTCTACATGAAGCAAAGGATTAAGGATGATGACATTGATGTTTGTGCTGTTTTTCACACTTTTGGCACTATTTCAAACTGTGAGATGTGTCATAAAGACTCGTATGATGACAGAAAGTTTTGTCACTTTATGGACATCATTTTCAGTCTGTGGATCCATTCAGCAAGATGAATGAGACCCTTGTTGTGTTACGGATGAATCAGACCCTTGTCTGTGTAGTGTTCTGAAGGTGATTGAAGGATGAATGAGACCCATGTTGTGTTAAGGATGAATGAGACCCTTGTCTGTGTAGTGCTCTGAAGGTGATTGAAGGATGAATGAGACCCTTGTCTGTGTTAAGGATGAATGGGACGCTTGTCTGTGTAGTGTTCTGAAGGTGATTGAAGGATGAATGAGACCCTTGTCTGTGTAGTGTTCTGCAGATCATTGAAGGATGCATGAGATCCATGTCTGTTGTGTTCTGAAGGTGATTGAAGGATGAATTAGACCCATGTTGTGTTAAGGATGAATGAGACCCTTGTCTGTGTAGTGCTCTGAAGGTGATTGAAGGATGAATGAGACCCTTGTCTGTGTTAAGGATAAATGGGACTCTTGTCTGTGTAGTGTTCTGAAGGTGATTGAAGGATGAATGAGACCCTTGTCTGTGTAGTGTTCTGCAGATCATTGAAGGATGCATGAGATCCATGTCTGTTGTGTTCTGAAGGTGATTGAAGGATGAATGAGACCCTTGTCTGTGTTAAGGATGAATGAGACCCTTGTCTGTGTAGTGTTCTGCAGATCATTGAAGGATGCATGAGATCCATGTCTGTTGTGTTCTGAAGGTGATTGAAGGATGAATGAGACCCATGTCTGTGTTAAGGATGAATGACACCCTTGTCTGTGTAGTGATCTGCAGATCATTGAAGGATGCATGAGATCCATGTCTGTTGTGTTCTGAAGGTGATTGAAGGATGAATGAGACCCATGTCTGTGTTAAGGATGAATGACACCCTTGTCTGTGTAGTGTTCTGCAGATCATTGAAGGATGCATGAGATCCATGTCTGTTGTGTTCTGAAGGTGATTGAAGGATGAATGAGACCCATGTCTGTGTTAAGGATAAATGAGACCCTTTTCCGTGTTGTGTTCTGCAGGTGATTAAAAGGATGAATGAGACCTTGTCTGTGTTGTGTTCTGCATGTTGGGATTTTGAGACCCATGTCTGTGTTGTGTTCTGCAGGTGGGGCTGTTGAGACCAGGGCCTTGATTGGTGCAGCAAGGAGTTCCTTCAGTAAGCTGTTGGACAAGTTGGGTGTCGAGTTCCCTGGGATCAGCTTGCAGCCAATGGCTGATACCATGGTAGAACTTAACATCCCTTGGTGCGAGGACTTGGTCGATGTCCCTCTCAGACACTGAGTGGGACTCCCCTGTGGTAAAGAAACAAACCCTCGCGCCATCGCAGGTAGCATCATTTAACTTTCAAACCAAGCTGAACTCAAGTTTCTTCAGAATCAGTACATAAGACTTTTATGGACTTATTATGTGATGCTAGGTTTAACATGTTTTTACAACATTTGCTCAACATTTACTTTATTGTTAATCAGAATTATGAGGCAAAAGCATCTGATATTTGATGTAGTCTTGATGCAGATGAAACTTGATTTAATGCATTTGTTTGAATCCATTCACTCTGTGACCTCAGCTAGTGTGTAATGTTGACGCGGTTTGCTTCTTCAGGATTTGATGATAGCACTGCAGCACCACATATTGGACTTCACTCAGCGCCTGCACAGTGTGGAGGTGGAGCGTAAGGCAGCGTGCTGTCGGAGGTGGAGCAGCTCAAGCAGCAGGTGGTGTCTGAAGTGGGTGATATGTGGCAACTACTCGACAAGATGGGCTTTACACCAAGGAGCATGTGCGCTGCTGATCAAGTGGGATTGGTGTAATTTAGTGGATTAGTGTGATTGCTATTGATAAATATGATGCACTTCGGCCACCAAGGTACTCAGTAATTGTGTAGAGGCTCTCACCACTCTGTGAAGTGGCAGAAGTAAAGTTAATTAGAAAGAGCAACTCTTGAGTCGTGGAGGCAGATGTATCATTGAAAGGCTGGGAAACCCTTGGTTATGCGAAGGCAGAGGTACCACAAGAAAGGCTGGAAACCTGGGATTTGAAGGTGGTGAGGTAAATTGAAAGGCTTGAAACCCCTGGGTTATGAAGGCAGAGTGTATCATTGAAAAGCTGAAACTTCTAGGTTATACAGGCAGAGTGCATTGGAAGGCAGAAATTCGATAGGCTATTGATGCGAGGTATCTTTGAAATAAGGTCATTTCTGTTCTCTCCTTCATCCCCTGCAGAATCCCCAAAGTATGTGACCATGGAGAAATTTGAGCGAGCGTCTGTCGGGAGTTAGTTAGTGCGCGAAGTGGTGGAGCAGCAGGCGCAGCATCTGCTGCAGGAAATCAACAGAGCCAGTAGCTGGAGGAGCTCAGAGCAATAAATTGATTTGTGTGCCACATTATGGGTATGGACATGTGAAGCGACTCTCGCAGAAGCTGTGCAGGTTAGTTTTCATGAACAAATGATCCATGTAAGTCAGTCATATGGACCCACTGACCCAAGTCAGTCATATGGACATACTGATCCATGTAAGTCAGCCTGGCGGCGGACATACTGATCCATGTAAGTCAAGTCAGGTATGGACATGGCCTGATCCATGTAAGTCAGTCATATGGACATACTGGATCCATGTAGATGAGAGTCAGGCAGACATACTTGATCCATTTAGCCCGTCAGGTATGCAGACATATTGATCTCCTGGACTCTGTGCTGTAAGCATAACTGTGGCTGTGTCTACACGACATTAGCTGAAGAAGCTGGTTGGTGGATGCATAGTTACTGTGTGTCTGAAGGATGTATTACAAATCCAAAGGGTTCTGCAGGACATAGCATGTCTGTGTGGGTGTGTGTCTGAGGGAAACTATAGAAGCAGTGTAGTCTGGAGGGAACTAAGGAAGCTACAGAAAGTGTCTGAGGGAAGCATAGGTGTTGAGGGAACCATAGCTACAGTGTGTTCTGAGGGAACTATAGCTGCTGGTAAAATCTGAGGAACTATAGCTACAGTGTGTCTGGAGGGAACTATAGCCACTGTGTGTCTTGAGGGAAACTATAGCTACAGTGTGTTTGGGAGGAACTATAGCTTCAAAAGTGTCTGGAGGGAACTATAGCTAGTGTGTGTCTGAGGGAACCACTAGCTACAGTGTGTCTGAGGAAACCATAGCTACAGTGTGTCTGAGGGAACTATAGCTAAGCAGCCTGGTCTGAGGGAGCTATAGCCACAGTGTAAGCCCAAGGTGCTATAGCCACAGTGTGAACAAGGGAAGCATAGCTACAGTGTGTCTGAGGGAACTATAGCTACAGGTGTCTGAGGGAACGAGAAGCTACAGTGTGTCTGAGGGTAGGGGATCCATAGCTACAGTAAAAGTCTGAGGGAACTTTTTCTCAAGTATTCTGGTGGAGGGAACTATAGCTACAGGTGTCTGAGGGAACCATAGCTATGTGTAAGTCTGAGGGAACCATAGCTACAGTGGTGTCTGAGGGAACCAAGCAAATACAGTGTGTCTGAGGGAAAACCAAGTAGCTACAGGTAGTCTGAGGTGGGAACTATAGCTGTTGTGCAGCCTGAGGGAACTATAGCTACAGTGTGTCTGGAGGGAACTATAGCTACAGTGTGTCTGGAGGGAAACCGCCAGCTTATTGAGTGTGTCTGAGGGAACCAGAAAGGAAAGGGGTCTGAGGGAACCACATAGCTACAGTAAAATCTGAGGGAACTAAGTGTGGCCACAGTGTGTCTGAGGGAACTATAGCTACAGTGTTTTCTTGAGGGAACCATAGCCACAGTGTGTCTGAGGGAACTAATAGGCTACAGTGTAACCTGAGGGAACTATAGCCACAGTGTTTGAGGGAACCATAGCTACAGTGTGTCTGAGTGGAACTATAGCTACAGGTTCGGGAGGGAACTGGAGAAAGCAGTGTTCAGGAAACCATAGCTACAGTGTGTCTCGAGGGAACTATAGCCTGGAAAAGTGGTCTGAGGGAACTATAGCTTCAGTGTCTGAGGAACTTTTAGCTTCTATGTGTCTGAGGGAACTAAATATAGCTACAGACTGGGAGGGTGGGAAACTGGTAGCTTCATTGTGCCAGAGGGAACCATAGCTTCAATGTGTCTGAGGGAACTATTGCTTCAGTGTGGGGTCTGAACGAACTATAGCTTCAGTGTGTCCTGAGGGAAAACTAAGTAGCTACAGTGTGTCTGAGGGAACTATAGCTTCAATGTTTCTGAGGGTACTATAGCTTCAGTGTGTCTGAGGGAACTATAGCTACAGACTGAGGGAGCTATAGCTACAATCTGAGGGAACCATAGCTACAGTGTGTCTGAGGGAACTATAGCTAAAGTGTGTCTGAGGGAACTATAGCTACAGTGTGTCTGAGGGAACCATAGCTACAGTGTGTCTGAGGGAACCATAGCTACAGTGTGTCTGAGGGAACTATAGCTACAGTGTGTCTGAGGGAACTATAGCTACAGTGTGTCTGAGGGAACCATAGCTACAGTGTGTCTGAGGGAACTATAGCTACAGTGTGTCTGAGGGAACCATAGCTACAGTGTGTCTGAGGGAACCATAGCTACAGTGTGTCTGAGGGAACTATAGCTACAGTGTGTCTGAGGGAACTATAGCTACAGTGTGTCTGAGGGAACTATAGCTACAGTGTGTCTGAGGGAACCATAGCTACAGTGTGTCTGAGGGAACTATAGCTACAGTGTGTCTGAGGGAACTATAGCTACAGTGTTTCTGAGGGAACCATAGCTACAGTGTGTCTGAGGGAACTATAGCTACAGTGTGTCTGAGGGAACTATAGCTACAGTGTCTGAGGGAACCATAGCTACAGTGTGTCTGAGGGAACTATAGCTTCAGTGTGTCTGAGGGAACTATAGCTTCAGTGTGTCTGAGGGAACTTTAGCTTCTATGTGTCTGAGGGAACTATAGCTACAGACTGAGGGAACTATAGCTTCATTGTGTCTGAGGGAACTATAGCTTCAATGTGTCTGAGGGAACTATTGCTTCAGTGTGTCTGAAGGAACTATAGCTTCAGTGTGTCTGAGGGAACTATAGCTACAGTGTGTCTGAGGGAACTATAGCTTCAATGTTTCTGAGGGTACTATAGCTTCAGTGTGTCTGAGGGAACTATAGCTACAGACTGAGGGAGCTATAGCTACAATCTGAGGCATCTACAGCTTCAGTGTGTCTGAGGGAACTATAGCTACAGTGTGTCTGAGGGAACTATAGCTACAGTGTGAGGGAGCTGTAGCTTCAGTGTGTCTGAGGGAACTATAACTTCAATGTGTCTGAGGGAACTATTGCTTCAGTGTGTCTGAGGGAACTATAGCTTCAGTGTGTCTGAGGGAACTATAGCTTCAGTGTGTCTGAGGGAACTATAGCTTCAGTGTGTCTGAGGGAACTATAGCTACAGACTGAGGGAACTATAGCTACAATCTGAGGGAACTATAGCTTCAGTGTGTCTGAGGAACTATAGCTACAGTGTGTCTGAGGGAACTATAGCTACAGTGTGAGGGAACTGTAGCTTCAGTGCATCCGAGAGAACTATAGCTTCAATGTGTCTGAGGGAACTATAGCTTCAGTGTGTGGTAATTATAGCAACTATGTGTCTGAGGGAAGTATAGCTACAGTGTGTCTGAGGGAAGTAGAGCTACAGTGTCATTATAGCAACTGTGTGTCTGAGGGAAGTATAGCTACAGTATGTGGTAACTATAGCTACAGTGTGTCTGAGGGAACTATAGCTACAGACTGAGGGAGCTATAGCTACAATCTGAGGGAACTATAGCTACAGTGTGTCTGAGGGAACTATAGCTTCAGTGTGTCTGAGGGAACTATAGCTTCAGTGTGTCTGAGGGAAGTATAGCTTCAGTGTGGTTGCAGGGTCTGTCAGAGGCAAAGGTGGAGCTACGGCGTCGGGAACAGTCCATCCGCCAGCTCCAGAAGCAAGTGCTCCAGATGGAGATGGACCGTGAAGTCTGTTACCGGCAACATGGCCGACACAGAGAATGCATTGCACACAGCTAACAGGTAACACTTGTCCAGTCCGGTACGAAATAAACATATTTGCCATTTGTTGAATGCTCCAATTGCTTAACATGAAAGAATATTGTTCCATATTTGTTGGAACATGAACTGTTTGTAGATTTGTATGTTCTAATTCTAACCCATTCTATATGATTGTTCTTCTGCAGAGACAAGGATATCCTGTCGCACTACATGAAGTCTGTGGAGAGAGCACTACATGAGGTGAGTAACAGCTAGCACACTCCAGTTTGTGTCTGTAGGCTCACAGTGAGTGTTTGGGTCAGGATTTGAGGGATATCATGGCAGCTTCCTAATATGTATCATAGGAGTAGTTGTTCGAGACCTTTCCACTTAATGTTCAGGATAACCAAGGTGTGGATCTTCTAGGGAGTATTTCAACTGCAAAACTGGATATATGTTTGCCAGAAAACTGTGAGTCTAAATTACTGTTTCCTAAACAGCACCTTGAACCAATGTAACTTTCTGCACAGACAAACTTCCTCTTGTACAGTACTGTTTCGAGTGTTTGCTTTGACAATTTATTTTGTTTTTATACTGTGCCCCCAGAATATCAAATGGTAGGTTACTTAAAGGTCAAGTCTTTTAACGTTGTTACGGGTTATTGGATTTTTTTGAGGATCATAATTAGAATATTATTTGGGTTGACAATAGTCTTGGTAAGGCCTCTGTTGGGAGTCATACCATTATGCTGGCAGTCCATGGTAAGGGGTCATTTTATGGTCTTGAGAAATAATGGGACTATAAAAAAGAGTCTCTCTGTCATCCTCGGTGAAGAGAGAGCAGTTAATGACCATGTTGATATTCTTGGATGATATACGCTGTTTTGTATGTACATGTTTGTCTTTAGAGATGGCTAAAATGAGAGAAATGAATTGTGTTGCACTGTGCACCTTGCTGCAAGAATATTGCTCATCTTGGTGAAGAGTATTGGCAACGTGTTCTGACATATCCTGACAAACAGTTTCTTTTTATGTCTAGGCTAAAAGACAAATGTCTCTACTCAAAGACCCTGGTCGCCATGATGCTGAACTGTCCAAGGCATTGCTCAATGTTGACTTTATCCCCACTGATGTTGGAAAGGCAGGCCAAGAGCTGATAGCATGTCAGGTATATACATACTAAATTCAGAGCTAATAACATGTGAAGTATATATGATGTGACTGAACTTTTACCATGTCAGTTATATCTTATAGATATGCTCAGAGCTAAATAGAAAATACTAAACGAGTGTCTGTCAGATACCATTTTTTCTTCTGAAGTTGTTTCAAAACATTATGGTTTAAAGCGAGTTAAAATGCGTTGAAACAACTTCGAAGAATAAATGGTATCTCGATTTAGACACTGAAAGTACTAATAATCTTTTTCTTACACACCATAAAATTGCACCATTTTATGGCCTGAAATACATTCAAATTTTGCGTTTTCGCATCAGAGGTGCTAATAATACACAACACAACGTTTATGAATGAGTGGACGTCATTTGGCTTCCTAATCACTCTTTCGTCCCCATGGTGACCCCTCCACAAAAGGTTTCTGCCACCTCTTAAGCATCATCAAGGCAATAGTGATAATGATAACTAGATAAGATCACAGAAAAGTAATTAAACCCTCTAAAGCGATGATGTTATCCGTGCAAATGTGGATGATTTTAATTCTTGCAGCGTAAAATATTTGGCGGTGAGCAGATAGTTAATATCGCTATCGCGGTGGTTGTCGTCATCGAAGATTGTTTTGGATATCCTCTGCATTGGGGATCTGTACTTGTGTACCAGTTCCGTTCAATGTTCTCCCATCGACCGGAGCCAAAACCTTTGAGTGTGTGTAATTAGAGTGCCCCCAGTGTTGCTTGAATGTGACATTGCTGAGGCCATTACCGTTCCACTGTCAATGGGGACTACTCTTCTTCGCCATCCTTCGTTTTCCAAGTCAGAAACTGCCACTTGGAATGTAGCGAATTTCACGGAGTTGTCGGTATGAAATGTGAGTTGATTACATCCTGTAAGTTATCGAGAGACATAAACTTTTCATTATCATCGTGGAGGAGGAATATCTTGAGCAATGGCGTATGTGTAGATCAACAACGGTTCCTGTACATGTTCGATTGATTAGAAGGACGTGTGCCGCCATTTGCACTCATGAAGCCTTGCAAAACGTACCATGTTGAACATTGTTTCAACGAGTGTGTTTTGGTTCAGATTGTCATGGGTGTATTTGATAACATTGGAATCACATAGTATCTCGGAGCTGGAAGTGGGTCTTCATCATCTTGTATCAGTGAAAAATGTCATCTTCATCAATACATCAAAGAAACAACAAGGCAAATCAATCTCACAATGGACAGGCACTGACGTTATATTGTCAGGTATTTTTGCAAGACGATACATGACACTTATCGCATCTCTCCAGTAAAAGTACCAGTGTTGTACATTTTGAATATACTAGAAATCAAAAGTTTTAATAAAAGGAATTAGAAAATAAATAGATTTGTGTTATATATATTCTACTTGTGACTCGTTTTATAAATACCTGTTTATGTTTACAATCGCTTAAAAATAACAGGCAGGTGTAAAGGGTAGTTTTTGCACGAGTAACAGTTTTTGTTCGATTGAAGCACGAGTAACTTATCAATGAATTTTAATCAGGAAAGTAGTCCGTCATACCCTGACCCTAGGTCATCACCATGGAGTAGCCAATCACGGGATTAGAAATCGATCTCACACATATGTGTGATACCAGTTTTCTCACATGGGTTTCTCACCCACGGGTGTGTAACAATAGCATTTCAGCTACATAATTTGCAGCTATATCCATAGTTAATAGCATGTCAGGTATATATGCTTTAGTTATACCCAGAGCTTATAGCATGACAGGTATATATGCTTTAGTTATACCCAGAGCTAATAGCATGTCAGGTATATATGCTTTAGCTATACCCAGAGCTAATAGCATGTCAGTGTATATGCTTTAGCTATACCCAGAGCTGATAGCATGTCAGGTATATATATGCTTTAGCTATACCCAGAGCTAATAGCATGTCAGTGTATATGCTTTAGCTATACCCAGAGCTAATAGCATGTCAGGTATATATGCTTTAGCTATACCCAGAGCTAATAGCATGTCAGTGTATATGCTTTAGCTATACCCAGAGCTGATAGCATGTCAGGTATATATATGCTTTGCTATACCCAGAGCTTAATAGAATGTCAGTGTATGAATGCTTTAGCTATACCCAGAGCTGATAGCATGTCAGGTATATATGCTTTAGCTATACCCAGAGCTAATAGCATGTCAGTGTATATGCTTTAGCTATACCCAGAGCTGATAGCATGTCAGGTATATATATGCTTTAGCTATACCCAGATCTGATAGATAGGATCGAATTCTGTGGTGACCTGTTAATATCTGACCTCATAGCACACCCTGAGTCAAATGTTGAAAGCTTGACTCATCAGTATAACACTGTTCTTCGGGATTTACTCGACAAACATGCTCCTATTAAGGAAAGAATCCTTTCATTCAGCGTTCGATTGTCGTAATTTTTTAACGACTCTGTTCATCACACCAGAGGTGTTAATGCTGAAGGCGTGCTGAGCAAAAAATGGTGTTGGAAATCTCGTTTAGAAGTAGATCGTCAAATTTTATAGAAGCTGCGAGGAATATGGTCTGCAGAGTTATTAGGAATCCAAAGCGTCTTTATTGCAAACAACAGATTTTAGACTCTACCTGCAAGCCAAAAACCTTGCACAAGTTCCTGGGCTCGCTAATGGGCAAAAGGAGACTGTTGTACTTCCTGAAGGAAAGAATCCATCTGAGTTGGCTCATCTCTTTAACTCATTTTTTCAAGAACAAGATCTAAGACATCAGGAAGTTGCTTCAGAAATTTTGCTGAGAGGGACATTCTTTTACCATACTCCGACTTCCAGGGAACCAATCTCCTCCAGTTCAAGCCTTTACTCAGCAGGAAGTAGAATCTCTCGTCATGTCATCCAACAAGACCACCTGTCTCAGCGATCCTATACCAACTTCTCTTCTGATTGAGCACCTAAGTATTAGCTACTGCCGACGATGTGAAATCATCAGCAAGAGTCTGTCATCTGGGATCTTTCCACACATATGCACAAAGATGCTGTTATCATGCCACTAGTTAAAAATGCAAAACTTGACAAAATGACTTTCAAAACTACGGCCCGTTTCTAATCTGACTTTTCTCCAAACTTGTCGAGAGAGCAGCTACCAAGAGGTTGATGGATCACTTGTCAAGCAACAGCATCTTAGGCAGTACCAATGGAAACTACGATCCACACCACTCTGCGAAACTCTCTATTCTAAGAGTGGTAAATGACCTAAGATGCCTGGTTGATAGAGGTGGCGTGGCAATTCTGACACTCTTAGATCTGAGTGCAGCATTTGACACTGTGGACCACAAGATTCTTCTCCATACTCTTGAACATCACTCTGGAATCGGTAGGACAAGCACCCGACCTGGTTCTCTTCATACCTGTCTGCTAGACACCAGTCAGTCACAGTGTCGGGCAGCATCTCTGAAGATTACTCTGTCATGTGGAGTTCCACAGGGATCTGTTCTAGGACCAGTGCTCTTCCTGATTTACATCAACCAACTCTCTCTGATCAGTGACAAATTTTTTTTAATACCACACTTTTCCTATGCAGATGACAACCAACTCCTGACTAAGTTCAGACCAAATAATGCCCAATCAGCGTTGAAAGAGATTGAGAATTGTACTCTGGAAATCAAGACATGGATGACGGGCAGAAAACTAAAACTGAATGACACTAAAACAGAGGTTCTCCTTGTTGAAGGGAAACCAAAGAGCTTGGAGAGAAATTTAACATCGATAGTGTGAAGATTGGTTCAGCTAACATCCACACCATCAGCTTTGATAAAAGATCTTGGTGCTTATATTGAGTTCGGGCCTGTCTCTAGATTAGCGTGTGGATAAGTTATTGTCATACCTGCTATTACCACCTCAGACTCATTGGGACGATTAGGAAGCACATCACAATGGAAAGTGCCCACACTCTTGTGAGATGCCTTGTAACATCCAGATTGGATCACTGTAATAGCCTTCTATCTACGGACTCACCTGCGGACATCTCCAATAAACTACAAAAGTCCAAAATACAGCAGCACGTGATATATATCCTTACCACTAAAGCGAGACCATATCACCCCTGTACTCTCATCATTACACTGGCTTCCAATCAAGTTCCGGATTGACTTCCAAACTTCTTTGCATTGTGTATAAATGTTTGCAGAATCAAGCTCTTCATATCTCTCTGAACTTCTCACTGTGTACTCCCTACCAGAACTCTCTCAGATCTCAAGACCAATGTCTTCTCTCCGTTCCCAAAGTTCTACTTTCTTCTTTTGGCAAGAGGTCTTTCCAATGCGCTGGTCCTACTCTGTGGAATTCTCTTCTCTCCACACAAAGCAGTCATGCACATTGGAAACTTTCAAAATTAAGTTGAAGACTTTCTTTTTTTCCAAAGCCTATCCCTAAAATCAATCTTTCTGTCATCAATTTCAATGTATACATATTTTACTATTTTATCCTCTGTATGCATTGTATGTATGCTTTTATGTAGCGCCTTGAGCATGTATCAGTGGGTGGAAAATGGCACGCTAAAAATATCCATTATTATTATTATTATTATATATGCTTCAGCTTTTTCACTCAAACTTGAGACCGCCTCCGTGGTGTAGTGGTTAGAGCGTCCACCCGGAGTGCGGAAGGTCGCGGGTTCGATCCCCGGCCGCGTCATACCAAAAGACGTTAAAATATGGTACTTGTTGGTCCCTGCCTGGCGTTCGGCATTAATGGGTACAACAAGGACTGGTCGGTTCGGGGTCAGTATAATGTGTCTGAGTGGGGTATTCATGCTTCACTGCGGCACGGTATCTCAGTGGGCTAGCACTATAAAACCAGCTTCAGTCTGGGCTAGTACAAGCAGCCGCACATACACATACACATGCATGCACGTCGTCATATGAGCGAAATATTTTCAAGCACGACGTTAAACCCAGTTTCACCTCACCTCACTCAAACTTGACACTGAATAGACGTGTCCATGGTAAATGCTCAGAGATATATAGATACTGTTTTCATAAGCATACCTTACATTACAGAACCTTGTGGGTGCCTTCATTGACACACAGCACCAGGCTGTGGCCAAAATCCACTCCCTGGAGGATGAAATTGAGTCACACCGACGCCATGTAGCCAGCCTTAAGCAAGAGTTGAGCAATGCAGTGCGCAGAGAGTACTCCAACCAGGTAGGTCGTTCTCATATGTTCTCTCACAATGTCTGTCGGTCTTACAGATGTTCTCTCACAATGTCTGTTGGTCTTACAGATGTTCTCTCACAATGTCTGTTGGTCTTACAGATGTTCTCTCACAATGTCTGTCGGTCTAGCAGATGTTTTCTCTCAATGTTTGTCGGTCTTACAGATGTTCTCTCTCAATGTGTGTCGGTCTTACAGATGTCCTCTCACAATGTCTGTCGGTCTTACAGATGTTCTCTCTCAATGTCTGTTGGTCTTACAGATGTTCTCTCTCAATGTCTGTTGGTCTTACAGATGTTCTCTCACAATGTCAGTCTTACAGATGTCCTCTCACAATGTCGGTCTTACAGATGTCCTCTCACAATGTCGGTCTTACAGATGTCCTCTCACAATGTCGGTCTTACAGATGTCCTCTCACAATGTCGGTCTTACAGATGTCCTCTCACAATGTCGGTCTTACAGATGTCCTCTCACAATGTCGGTCTTACAGATGTCCTCTCACAATGTCGGTCTTACAGATGTCCTCTCACAATGTCGGTCTTACAGATGTCCTCTCACAATGTCGGTCTTACAGATGTCCTCTCACAATGTCGGTCTTACAGATGTCCTCTCACAATGTCGGTCTTACAGATGTCCTCTCACAATGTCGGTCTTACAGATGTTCTCTCTCAATGTGTGTCGGTCTTACAGATGTTCTCTCTCAATGTGTGTCGGTCTTACAGATGTTCTCTCTCAATGTGTGTCGGTCTTATAGATGTTCTCTCTCAATGTCTGTTGGTCTTACAGATGTTCTCTCTCAATGTCTGTTGGTCTTACAGATGTTCTCTCTCAATGTGTGTCGGTCTTACAGATGTTCTCTCTCAATGTCTGTTGGTCTTATAGATGTTCTCTCTCAATGTCGGTCTTACAGATGTTCTCTCTCAATGTGTGTTGGTCTTACAGATGTTCTCTCTCAATGTCTGTTGGTCTTACAGATGTTCTCTCTCAATGTCAGTCTTACAGATGTTCTCTCTCAATGTCTGTTGGTCTTACAGATGTTCTCTCTCAATGTGTGTCGGTCTTACAGATGTTCTCTCTCAATGTCTGTTGGTCTTACAGATGTTCTCTCTCAATGTGTGTCGGTCTTATAGATGTTCTCTCTCAATGTCTGTTGGTCTTACAGATGTTCTCTCTCAATGTCTGTTGGTCTTACAGATGTTCTCTCTCAATGTCTGTTTGTCTTACAGATGTTCTCTCTCAATGTGTGTTGGTCTTACAGATGTTCTCTCTCAATGTGTGTTGGTCTTACAGATGTCCTCTCACAATGTTGGTCTTACAGATGTCCTCTCACAATGTCGGTCTTACAGATGTCCTCTCACAATGTCGGTCTTACAGATGTCCTCTCACAATGTCGGTCTTACAGGTGTTCTCTCTCAATGTCGGTCTTACAGATGTCCTCTCTCAATGTCGGTCTTACAGATGTCCTCTCACAATGTCGGTCTTACAGATGTCCTCTCACAATGTCGGTCTTACAGATGTGGAGTCTCACAATGTCGGTCTTACAGATGTCCTCTCACAATGTGGGTCTTACAGATGTCCTCTCTCAATGTCGGTCTTACAGATGTCCTCTCACAATGTCGGTCTTACAGATGTTTCTCAGTGTGTGTGTCGGTCTTACAGATGTTCTCTCTCAATGTGTGTCGGTCTTACAGATGTTCTCTCTCAATGTGTGTCGGTCTTACAGATGAATAAACCTGTCATTCATTCAGTCTAGTTAAGATCTTTCTTCAATACAGGAAGGTTGATTTAATCTCACTCGCCCTGAGTTGTTACCATAACACATCAAGACGTTTGAAGACAGAAATCAGCGGGAATCTTAAAATGGCGACTGATCATACTTAACTGTGAAGCTGTAATGGATTTCCCAAAACATAATTAAATAATGAGCCAAATCCCATTGCGAATTAAGCGAAAACAGCAATGTGTGTTGTGGCGCCATGGAAGTGGTCACATGACAGATGGTTTGATACAAAACAGATTACCGTGAAGCGACTTCGGAAAGAAATAATACAGCAGTATTTTATTTATTCATTAAGATTTTATTCACCAGTACATCATGAAGCGAATAGTCACTAACACTCAATCATCTCATTCACAACAACCCGGCTTGTTTGAAATCACAAAGAGCTTCATATACAGTATAAGTTAATTAGATCAAATCGTCAGAATTGAACATAAGACTGATGTGTTTTCATCTCTTCTGTGGGAGTAAGCGGATTACTGTGTACTATTATATCGCACAGATAGGGATTTCCTGTGAGTAAGCAATAAGCGCCGCCCTGACAGGTTAAGCCACTCTGTTTGTTTTCACTGCTATTAGTGGCTGGCCAAAGAGACAGCTGGCAGTTCCGGCAATTACTGATTAGCGAATAATTGTGTAGCGATGTAGTCTAAACTGTCAATTCAGCGAAAATTGCAGTGTGTCTTCCCGCGAAAATAGAATGCGTTTACAGTACAATATGAAATGGTTGACATATACTCACCCAGTAGGTCTTCCTTGAATACAGAAAGGTTGACATAAGCTCACCCAGTAGGTCTTCCTTGAATACAGAAAGGTTGACAAGCTCACCCAGTAGGTCTCCCTTGAATACAGAAAGGTTGACAAGCTCACCTCAGTGGGTCTTCTTGAATGCAGAAAAATAGATGAACTCACACAAAGTAACTGTCAGTTCACACAGCCACAGAAGTCACAGATCAGTGCCACTTTAACCTTGTAGTTTAGGTAAATGTAACAGAAACAAGTATGAATACACCCAAAGTATCAATTATAATATATGTTGATGAAGATTGTTCTTACCAAATATTACCACATCTTTACATCACTGTACCAGTTAAGTTTCTGAGGATTTTGTAACTTTTTGTTTGCAGGATTGTTCTCCTCCCCCTGATGAGTTTGAAATTATTCCTTCAATCTCGGACCCGGATGTTTCCAGCAGCAGGGAAAGATTTGCTCCTCTCAGGTAGGGGGTGGTTGCTGTAGGTTTACCTGAACAGAAGAATTTGACATGGTAGTTTAAGGACAGAATTGTCTTCTCAGGTAGGGTGTATTTGCTGTAGGTTTACCTGAACAGAAGAATTTCACCTGACATGGTAGTTTAAGGACAGAATTGTCTTCTCAGGTAGGGGGTGGTTGCTGTAGGTTTACCTGAACAGAAGAATTTCACCTGGCATGGTAGTTTAAGGACAGAATTGTCTTCTCAGGTAGGGGGTGTTTGTTGTAGGTTTACCTGAACAGAAGAATTTCACCTGGCATGGTAGTTTAAGGACAGAATTGTCTTCTCAGGTAGGGGGTGGTTGCTGTAGGTTTACCTGAACAGAGGATTCTTTTTCAGAGAGATCGTCCTTGGGGTACATATTATGCATTTTCCGGCTGAAAAATGTCCTGTGACAGTTGTATCAATGTTTTTTGAATAAAAAGATTGTACAATAAATAAACTCTTTTATTTATTATACGGACCCTACCTCACGGAGTTACCTCCCTTAGAGCATGCACCAACTGGGTAGGCTCCTAGACCCGTATCATCATTCCTTCTGCTGTCCGCGACCCCTGAACAGGCGTTAGATTTGTGATTACCTTTCATGAGCCCGTGCAGTAGCTGTATTTTAGATGTCGATGCGTGGCTCGATTGGCTGTCCGGTCCCACATTCTCACACCTATCGGCTATTTCCATTCAGTTGTTGACCTGGAAAGCTGTGTTTCTGGTGGCGGTAACATCTGGTCGAAGAGTCGGCGATATACATGCTATGTCGTCCGACCCGGCGCTGACTGTGTTTCACCACGGATCGTGTCAGCATTAAGCCTCCCAGATACTTTTTACCGACCGAAGGTCGATCACGCTTTCCATGTGACAGCTCCTATCGAACTTCCTACTCTTACCCAGCCTTCCACATCGGGGACCACTCCTCTGAGCACTCACCCGTTGGATGTCCCGTAAGGCGCTCAAAGTCTATATCAAAGCGAGCGCAGGGGATCCGTACGGGTACCCAGCTGTTCTGTTATTCTGATGGCGGGAAGGCTGGTCTGCCAGCGAGCAAGCAAACTTTGTCTCGCTGGCTTGTTTCGTGTATTTGTGCGGCTTATCAGGCTAAGGGCAAGCCTCCCCTGAGGGGTTGAAGGCTCACTCGGTCAGGGCAGTAGCGCATCAAAGCTTTTGCAGCGGCACTCCCCATTGAAGAGATCTGCTCTGCGCTATTTGGAGCCGGCCAAGCACTTTTATACGCCATTATCAGCTCGATACACATTCACGCAATCGCATGCGAGCTTTGGTCGTACCGTTCTCTCCAGTGGACAGTGTCCTGCCACCCTGACCAAGTGAGTCTTGGTTTATTGGTTTGTGTTTGGCTACTGTACAATGATTCCATTATTGACATGTCTGCTCACTGAGCACTCAGAGAACCTGTACCCCTTCGATTCTCTAAGGAGTTACGATATCGTTAGTGAGTGGTATTTTGTTTTCCCCTCACGGTGCTCTCACGAAGAAGCCACTTAGTGGGTCGGTTCACTGACATTCGCACTCGTGCAATGTCTCATTATGCTAGAATTCGTCTTTGAGCACAAATCCTCCCTGTCAGTTCCCCTCCCATAATGCCTCTCGGCGGGCGAAGCTGGGTCAGTGACAGGTGAGTGTTATGGCGTCTGTTCAATTTTTTCCATGATACGATCGCTATATTTTGTGTGTGCTTGGACAGAATTCCCTCCTCCTGGCCTCCGGTCTTTGGGAGTCTGTGTTTATGCATAATATGTACCCCAAGGGCGATCTCTCTGAAAAGAATTTTCCAAACCTGCAGAGGTTTTCAATTCTTTGAAGAGAGTAGATCCTTGGGGTAGGGCCCACCCACCTCCCGCCAATTCTGTTCACTGATGAGAATTCAGCAGAAGGAATGATGATCCACGGGTCTAGGAGCCTACCCAGTTGGTGCGCATGCGCGCTAAGGGAGGTAACTCCGTGAGGTAGGGTCCGTATAATAAATAAAAGAGTTTATTTATTGTACAATCTTTTTATTCAAAAAACATTGATACAACTGTCACAGGACATTTTTCAGCCGGAAAATGCATAATATGTACCCCAAGGACGACTCTCTTCAAAGAATTGAAAACCTCTGCAGGTTTGGAAAAATTTCACCTGACATGGTAGCTTAAGGACAGAATTGTCTTCTCAGGTAGGGGGTGGTTGCTGTAGGTTTACCTGAACAGAAGAACTTCACCTGGCATGGTAGCTTAAGGACAGAATTGTCTTCTCAGGTAGGGGTGGTTGCTGTAGGTTTACCTGAACAGAAGAATTTCACCTGGCATGGTAGTTTAAGGACAGAATTGTCTTCCCAGGTAGCATGGTAGAGGTGTTTGCTGTAGGTTTACCTGAACAGAAGAATTTCACCTGGCATGGTAGTTTAAGGACAGAATTGTCTTCTCAGGTAGGGGGTGTTTGCTGTAGGTTTACCTGAACAGAGGAATTTCACCTGGCATTGTAGTTTAAGGACAGAATTGTCTTCTCAGGTAGGGGGTGGTTGCTGTAGGTTTACCTGAACAGAAGAACTTCACCTGGCATGGTAGTTTAAGGACAGAATTGTCTTCTCAGGTAGGGGGTGGTTGCTGTAGGTTTACCTGAACAGAAGACTTTCACCTGGCATGGTAGTTTAAGGACAGAATTGTCTTCTCAGGTAGGGGGTGTTTGCTGTAGGTTTACCTGAACAGAGGAATTTCACCTGGCATGGTAGTTTAAGGACAGAATTGTCTTCTCAGGTAGGGGGTGGTTGCTGTAGGTTTACCTGAACAGAAGAATTTCACCTGGCATGGTAGTTTAAGGACAGAATTGTCTTCTCAGGTAGGGGGTGGTTGCTGTAGGTTTACCTGAACAGAAGACTTTCACCTGGCATGGTAGTTTAAGGACAGAATTGTCTTCTCAGGTAGGGGGTGGTTGCTGTAGGTTTACCTGAACAGAAGACTTTCACCTGGCATGGTAGTTTAAGGACAGAATTGTCTTCTCAGGTAGGTAGTTGAAAGACACAAGTTAAAAATTCCCCAGCATAAGTGTCCCTCTGAAATAAAATACTTCACTAGACATGACACTCATTTTACATGATATTTCTCCTTGCATTCAGAGAGGATTCTGAGGTATCTTACTCTGTTGGGAAACCCAGTCCTATCAAGTCAGGCCCTGGTTCAGCACACAAACAAGGGAGGTAAGCATCCATGTGGGGAAAAGATTATTTCTTTTGGTGACCTGCTTCTATATGTGTGTCCTGATGTTTTCAACATCTATACAGCCTCTCTGTATGTTCTGCCACTTGTAGCATCTATATATCTTGTCTGTGGTCTAATACTTGCAGACCCTTGAAGATCCAGGTTAGAATTGATCTTCAGTAATTCATGCTTGTCGAAAGACGCAACTAATGGGATTGGGTGGTCAGACTCGCTGACTTGGTTGACACATGTCATCGTATCCCAAGTTCATAGATCCATGCTCATGTTGTTGATCACTGGATTGTCTGGTCCAGATTCGATTATTTACAGACTGCCGCCATATAGCTGGAATATAACTGAGTGTTGTGTAAAACTAAACTCACTCACTCACTCACTACCACTTGCAACATCTATATATTGTGTCTGTGTTCTACTATGAGCAAACATTATATATCCAGTCGGTGTTCTGCTACTTGGTACATCTATAAATCATGTCTGTGGTCTGCAACTTGTGTTCTACTTGGCAGGTCTCCTGGATTCCACACACCACAGAAACTTCCCAAGTCTTCCCAGAGTCGTCCCCGATCACAGCCGTCAAATGTGCGGTAGAAAAGGAGTGTGTCTGTCAGCTCATCTGTGATATGCATGTTGCTGCATGATGTTAATCCATGTCAGAAACTGATGCCGTCCATGTTGTGTATAAACAGTGTATTGGACTAGCCCCTTTGTATTCATGTAACATTAGACAAGTGCTCTTCTCATCAAAATAGGTTATGATAATCCAGAGTGATAAATAGATTACTGGAATATCACAACATCAAGAATATTTGAACACTTTCAAGTTGTCTTGTTCTCAGATACAAGCAGTGTTCTTGATGTGTACATAGGTGTCTGTACAATTTACAGAAACAGTGAATGTGGGCCAAGGTGTCATACAGTCACTTTGTGCACGTGGGCCAAACATCCTACTTGAACTGTGAATGTGTGAACTTTGTCCAAGTGGGCTTGAACTGTGAAAGCCAAGGTGTCATACAGTCACTTTGTCCAAGTGGGCCAAACCTCCGACTTTTAACTGTGAATGTGGGCCAAGGTGTCATACAGTCACTTTGTCCAAGTGGGCCAAACCTCCGACTTTAACTGTGAATGTGGGCCAAGGTGTCATACAGTCACTTTGTCCAAGTGGGCCAAACATCCTACTTTAAACTGTGAATGTGGGCCAAGGTGTCATACAGTCACTTTGTCCAAGTGGGCCAAACATCCTACTTAAACTGTGAATGTGGGCCAAGGTGTCATACAGTCACTTTGTCCAAGTGGGCCAAACATCCTGATTAAACTGTGAATGTGGGCCAAGGTGTCATACAGTCACTTTGTCCAAGTGGGCCAAACATCCGACTTGAACTGTGAATGTGGGCCAAGGTGTCATACAGTCACTTTGTCCAAGTGGGCCAAACATCCGACTTTGAACTGTGAATGTGGGCCAAGGTGTCATACAGTCACTTTGTCCAAGTGGGCCAAACCTCCGACTTTAACTGTGAATGTGGGCCAAGGTGTAGTTCAGTTCCAAAGCATCATGCAACTGTCAAGACGAGGAGTCTGTCTCTGATGGATAGTTACTACAGAAGTCATACCATAATTTCTTTTGTGGAGTTAGGCCCTGGGCCTCATTCTGTGAATTAATATTAGCGCTATGATTACTCTAAAATCATTTTCAAGTATGGGAGCTGTCCATGAGATTTTAAAGATTTCTGAATGCAACAAGGCCCTTGGCACTGTGACCATCTTTGTCAAGTCCAGGTTAAGGACCTCTTTGTAGTTTATCGTTCCTGATTAACAGCATTTAATTGTGTACATGTATACATGCGTGCATGCAGATCATTTGCATTCCTGAAGTATATTTTATATTAAAAATGATTGCATTTATCTTGTCGATATGTATGCTATTGTTCTCAGTGTATGTTGTGTATTATCATTTGTTATTGAAGCATGGAAAAATAACTAATGTGGGTTGATGACATGAGCCTGTAACATGCTACTGTTCACAATTTCAGGTGGTAAATTGTAAAATCCTTTTATTATGAATGTAGCCAGTATAAAATCTTGCATACTACAATTGTAAATTCACTAAACCAGCAATGCATGTTGTGTTTACCAGTGGGTGTGTTCAGTGTGAAGTCCTTGTGTGAAGTCATTGTGTGGTGCCTGTAACTCTGTATATGCAATATCTAGAGGACTATGTGTAACACTGCAATGTTTCATTGTACACAGACACAAAGGACACTTTAAGCATCATTACATGTCTCACCATGTTCACATCAGATGGTGTTCACGTCAGATTGTGTTCACATCAGATGGTGTTCACATCAGGTTGTGTTCACATCAGATGCTGTACATGTCAGATGGTGTTCACATCAGATGCTGTACATGTCAGATGGTGTTCACATCAGATGCTGTACACGTCAGATGGTGTTCACATCAGATGCTGTACACGTCAGATGGTGTTCAAGCCCATTGTGGCTGTACCTGACATTTGTAAGTCTCTGTGTTTGAATTATACATATATTGTGATATTTATTTCATACAATAACCTACACAAACAATAAAATATCCAACCACTACTGTGCTGTTGTTTGATTCAGATTCTCGTGTATCTTTATAGACATGATAATCCATCACTTGATAGATCTCATAATCCATAACTCAAAGTATGTTGTCTTCAAAAGTAAATAGAGATTCTCAGCAAACTGTGTTTCTGTATCATAGATCATGTTATTAATTGGAGAATATATATGAGCCTCAATTAAGCACCACCTGAATCCAAGGTAATTTTTTGAACATTCGGTCCAAACAGGTGATCATACGAGCAAACTGGAATGCTTTTGTAAAGCATGTACTTCACTCACAGTCGTATAGCTACATGTTCACAGGCTGCAAAGACAAGACTTCGATTTTCAGAAAATACATGGTGGCAAGTTATTGGCATCCATGATGCAGGGATGTCCTGTCACAACATTGGTGCTAACTTAGACATTAACTACAGAGTTATAAGTTGACTTCTGAGGAAGCACGTGGCCACCTGTGAAGTAAAGGATCGTCCAAGATTTGGAAGACCTAGGAAGACTAATTGCTGTAATGACCGATCCCAAATTCGACAAGACACAAACCCATGACCACACCAAGTATTGGGCGGGCAATAGAGAGTGGAAGTCCCCTCTCCATCAGTGCCATCTGAAGGACTCACAGACAAGTGCAGGCAGGAACGTCTGGCTTGGTGCAGGCTGCACGAAAATCACTTTGGTCCGATGGAGGTCGCTATCTGTTACTCATCCATTTAAAGATATCTCACTAATTCTCATGTAAAAATGATGTACCAATACTTGTATTGACGTGTCCATTGTCAATGTCATCACCGTGTCCGTCTTCAGACTCAAACTCAACTGGCTGAGGTTTTGTTAAGGTGTGTATCAATCAGCTTTAGTGGCAAAGATGCCTATCTCTGTCACCCAGTATTTCATTACGCTTGTGGCAACACTTGCATTGGGATCCACTCTTGTTTAATGATAATGTTTAGACTTTAGCTGGGCCTAAGTGTGCATTTTTGTTTTACGTCGTTCTCCACTCTTTTCTTAACCCTTTCTTCCATTTTGGATGCTAGAGTCTTGTACATATTATTAGAGTTGTTTAGTTTTGGATCATCTTTGAAACTCTTAGTAGTTCTTCTTCCTAGATATTAAGCAAAGAACTGGTTGAGCCTTCTTCCAAGGCTGCACCATACCGCTTGGACTTTGACCTTCAATTTTCTTTGCTTGATCACTGTTTGATTGGCATTTTAGAAGTTGGTGAGTAATCACTTGAAATATACATCACTGTATGCGTGCCTTTGGCAGTAGACCAACAATTGTTCAAATTCTCACCATGTACATTTTGCACATGTGAAAAGATTTACACGACCACCAGAACAAATGTGCGGACCAAACGTATGGTTTTTTTTACATAGTATGTAAATTAGTTCATGTATGTAATTGGCGCATGCGAACGGTGTATCGTACTGAAAAAACTAAACTTCACACTTTGAGAAATGAATTATGTTGAAAATGGGTAGTACAGGGTAGTTAATATGATCCAGGATGGCCAGGCTAACATGACACATCCGACCATTTCAACTGTGGTGAACCACGCGGAGTCACGTGACAACGATTTCTAACACGTGACTAACCAACGTGTGCAGCAATGGCTGGTGATTAGAAACAACGCCTTAACAACACTCGAGAGATAACAGTTGCCACGCCTTGCTATGGTAAACCTGAACCTGCAAATTGCTCCAGGCTGGCCAGTCAACTGTGGCTGTTGCACGTGCCATGAGATTCAGTAGACGAAACAACTGACAACCACAGGAGTTTCAAACCGGTACGCCACCTGATCGCCCCAAATCAGTACGGCAACGTGTGACGAGCACAATCACATTCGGCTACGTCATTTGCGTAATCGTTTTACGAGTCCAACGTCAATTGTTTAGGGGTCGCGTGACCAAACGAAACCGCTTGCGCACTGCCTCTCTTCGTCCCCGACATCATATTGTTCTGACACAGGTGAACCATAATTAAGGTTTACGCTGAGCTCAGCTGCACTAGCAGTTGGCTAAATCTTCTGCAAAATGCGGATATTGACATCATGGAGTGGCTATCGAGATCACCTGACCTCAAATCACATCGATCAGGGGATGCTCTTGTGCGAAATCTTCGTAGGTTGGGACGTCAGCCGCAGAATGTTCAAGAGCTGGGCGCCATGTTGGTACAGCAATGGCCCAGGGTGTCTAATGCTGGGTTCACGGGTGTTAGGCAGTCAATGAGACAACGTTGGTTTGTTGTGAATGAGAGAGGGGGTACTGAAAAAGCTCCAACGCAGATGGCTGTTCCCTGATAAATCAAAAAGTGATCCGATCGTGCTACAGTCGACTGTGGAGGGTGCATAAAGTTCACCTTGATGCCTAATCCTGTTTTAGTGTACCCTCATTACGTCCACAACCAGATTTATCTACTAGCCACACACTTAGTTCTACATGTATTTAGTCATACTTTGGAGGGGCGGTGGGGTAGCCTTGTGGTCAAAGCGATTACTCGTCACGCCGAAGACCCGGGTTTGATTCCCCACATGGGTACAATGTGTGAAGCCCATTTCTAGTGTCCCCTGCCGAGATATTGCTGGAATATTGCTAAACGCGGCGTAAAACTAAATTCACTCACTATACTTTGGACATAAAGTAACACATGAGAACTCTCTATTTTGTTTAGTAAACTTAATTTTTCGAAAACAAATCTTATACATTTGATTGTTTGTTGGTTTCTCACCAAGTTCTTTGACCTTTATATAAATTTCGTACATTTTGTTTCCACTTGGCATTCGACACGGAATAGTGGCTACTGAGATATGGCGATGCCACAACCCCGTGACACGTTGGGAACACTAACCACACAAGGTTACTCTGAAACTCGGATACTCGGCCACGAGTAACGATGGCGACTAACGAAGGTCTGCTGACTGTTAAAGTATGCTACAGTAAAGTCGTTTTGCCTTTCAAGAAGTTTTGCCGCTTCATCAATTGATCTGAAAGTCCACACTGTCTGATAGGATGCAGTGTTCCTGATGCTGGTAAATGTCACCCCATTCTTCAGACTCCTTAAACCACACTCTCTGCAGGACAGTCGGGAAGATCAACTGCAGCCCCGAGCGTCCTGACGCAACTGAAACCATGGTAGCGAGAACCTGTCCTACTGGAGCTCTGATGACCGTAACTGTGATAGCATAGCTCTTGTATAGAAAAGCCATTGTCTTGGGAGTCATTAACAGTTTTAATTTTGCCTGTATTCGACTAAAATCGAGAACGTATAAATTTCTTAGTAAATGAAAATACTTAACTTTCACAAAACATGCGAAGTCATGGGCACTTGTCACACACGTTTTGGAGAATGTTTAGAAACTACGGGCGAGAGTGTGTAGTGTGAGCGAGTGTACCAGAGTACACTGGGTTTGGTTTTAACTCCGCTTTGCATATATACTACTCACAAGAAGTTAAGGGTCACAGATAGATTTCAGCATATTTAAGTATGTATAGCAAACATATAAAACAGAATTTCCAAGCATAAATATGGTTAGAATTGGTTCATTCTGTCCTAAATCTGAGCACCGTGTGCAAATCATTTGCTCTATGCAAATTCAATTATTGTAAGCATCCTTTGAAAATTCATCAATACCAGAAATAATTGGGGAAACCACCACGTGCAGCACATCGTTGAGGCATACTGTCATCAGACCGCGAAAAAACTTATGTGGGATAGCCTGTCACTCTGCCTGACGATGACCAGGTTCATGATGATTGTCCCTTACCCGCCTGCATAACTCATCCCAAGCATGCTCAATCGGTGCCATATCAGGCGAGTATGCAGGCCAGTCCATTCAATCCTCACAATGCCATTTTGATTGAGAAAATCATTCACAAACCTGGTCCTATGTGGCCAAGCATTATACTGAAGAAGAGAACCAGCTCCAATTTGGCGAAGAGTAGAAACAACAAACGGACACAAACGTTCGTCCCTGCATCTGATACCAGTCAAATTTCGTCCCTGTATCAGATACCAGTCAAATTTCGTCCCTGTATCTGATACCAGTCAAATGTCGTCCCTGTATCTGACACCAGTCAAATGTCGTCCCTGTATCTGATACCAGTCAAATGTCGTCCCTGTATCTGATACCAGTCAATGTCGTCCCTGTATCTGATACCAGTCAAATGTTGTCCCTGTATCTGATACCAGTCAAATGTCGTCCCTGTATCTGATACCAGTCAAATGTCGTCCCTGTTTCTGATACCAGTCAAATTTCGTCCCTTTATCTGATACCAATTTCGTCCCTGTATCTGATACCAGTCAAATGTCGTCCCTGTATCTGATACCAGTCAAATGTCGTCCCTGTATCTGATACCAGTCAAATGTCGTCCCTTTATCTGATACCAGTCAAATTTCGTCCCTGTATCTAATACCAGTCAAATGTCGTCCCTGTATCTGATACCAGTCAAATTTCGTCCCTGTATCTGACACCAGTAAAATGTCGTCCCTGTATCTGATACCAGTCCAATTTCGTCCCTGCATCTGACACCAGTCAAATTTCGTCCCTTTATCTGATACCAGTCAAATGTCGTCCCTGTATCTGATACCAGTCAAATTTCGTCCCTGTATCTGATACCAGTCACATTTCGTCCCTGTATCTGATACCAGTCAAATTTCGTCCCTGTATCTGATACCAGTCAAATGTCGTCCCTTTATCTGATACCAGTCAAATTTCGTCCCTGTATCTAATACCAGTCAAATGTCGCCCCTGTATCTGATACCAGTCAAATTTCGTCCCTGTATCTGACACCAGTCAAATGTCGTCCCTGTATCTGATACCAGTCAAATTTCGTCCCTGTATCTGATACCAGTCACATTTCGTCCCTGTATCTGATACCAGTCAAATTTCGTCCCTGTATCTGATACCAGTCAAATTTCGTCCCTTTATCTGATACCAGTCAAATGTTGTCCCTGTATCTGATACCAGTCAAATTTCGTCCCTTTATCTGATACCAGTC